AGCGTGAGATTGACAGGCGGATTGGTGCAGCGTGCGCAGTGATGCAGTCGCTGTATCGGACTGTCGTGGTGAAGAGGGAGCTGAGCCGAAAGGCAAAGCTCTCAATTTACCGGTCAATCTTCGTTCCCTCCCTCACCTATGGTCATGAGCTTTGGGTAGTGACCGAAAGAACGAGATCGCAGATACAAGCGGTCGAAATGAGCTTCCTCCGCAGAGTGGCTGGGCGCTCCCTTAGAGATAGGGTGAGGAGCTCGGTCACACGGGAGGAGCTCGGAGTAGAGTCGCTGCTACTCCACGTCGAGAGGAACCAGTTGAGGTGGCTCGGGCATCTGTTCCGGATGCCTCCTGGACGTCTCCCTGGGGAGGTGTTCCGGGCTGGGAACCCACTGGGAGGAGGCCCCGGGGAAGACCTAGGACACGCTGGAGGGACTATGTCTCTCAGCTGGCCTGGGAACGCCTTGGGGTCCCCCCGGACGAGCTGGAGGAAGTGTGTGTGGATGGGGAAGTCTGGGCGTCTCTGCTTAGACTGCTGCCCCCGCGACCCGGCAACGGATGAAGCGGAGAAAAACGGACGGAACTGCTTGTTGTGCTCCCGTTCTAACTCTGCTCTGATCACCAGTCGCTGATTGGTTAGAGCATGGCCGAGCCCCATTGTGCACGTGCATGAGAGCCACACAAGCGTATTTGGCATGAAGCATCATGGAAGCTCGTCTACTGCGCATAACCAGGAGGACCAGATGAGGCCCAAATATTTCGCTAATCAATTTCACAAGCCATTGATTTTAATAGGGCGCCATCTTGGTTTGCCAGGGCTTGCATAGTCTTGGCCACGTACCGAGTCTCCTTATACAAAGCCATGGATCATTCGTTTGGGCCATGATCCAAAACCAACAATCCAAAATATTTTTTATTTATTTTTTTGAGGCTACAGGCATCTGGTCATGTCAATTACTATTTGAAAACAAATGATAACATGACAACTTTTGGAGTTTAGGAACGTTTCTTGTATTTTGAAAATTGCATCTGAATAAATCATTTACTACATCTTTAAGGGAAGGAATAACTATAAAATATAAAAATCTATGAACTAACCATTATAAGAAAAGCAAAACATTTCAGGATGCAAATGATTGAAAAGTTGTTGCGGTAAAAACATGCCAAAAAAAGAATTGTAAAATTGGAACATTTGGTATTATAAAAGACGTGGGTTCAAGCCCACCATAAGACCTACTTCACGACTCCCACTGATGACTGCTGTCGTTGTGTCCTTGGGCAAGACACTTAACCCCACTTTGCCTGAAGCTCCCACTGAAAGATCTCAGCTCCTGTGGACTCACCACCTGCAGGAGGATCAGTGAGGGGCTGGTGCTTTGTGTACTGGGTGTAGCTCTGACTGCCACCCCCCCGACCCAGAAATGGATTAAGGGGAAGAAAATGGATGGATGGATGGATGGTATTATAAAAGAGTTTTGTTTTACAGTTCCTGGTGGAGGCAGCAGGATATTTGGTGAATTGCTTGTAATAATGAGTGTCCTTTTCACAGAGGGAGCAGACTTATTAGTGCGCCCCCTGCCAAATCGGAGCCCTCCCCTCACCTCACCGGCACCTGGCTCTTGCTACAGGTGGGCTTGTAATTGCTCCGTGCGGTGGTCGTGCCCTGAGTAGTTTAGAAGAGCAGAAGTGAACTAATGAGGAGGCTGACTGTGCAGCTTCTCTATGGCCGAGAGACTGACTAAGACATGCATGAGGCAGGTGTGGGGTCCAGCAGCTGTAGTATCAATCATGTGAAGAGGGATAAGGGAAAGCATTGCACAAAGACTTCTCCCGGATTTTTATCATGATACAGTAGTTTTTCCTTATCATTAAAACACAAAGATGTTTATTCATTCAGCATTTTACTTTCACACATTTTCTTTTCTGAAACTGTGATATGTGATGCGTAGTCATTTTCTGCTGAAAGGGGAAAAAAAACCTGCCGATTGCTGATCTGTGGTGTGATCAAAGTCTGCAGGGCTTCCCTCTTCCGCTGACACCGCATAAAAGGGGCAGCATGAACAGCTATGTCGGGACTCAATACAGAAGTGTGCAAGCTAGTTCAGCTAGCTAGGGGTAAAAAACTAAGGCAGAAGGCTACGACAAAAATAAAATGTTTTGGAACCATATTGATAAAGAATGATTTGCAAAGTGTTCACCAATATATGAGACAGAAGCATGTTACACTCTCTTCCCAAATCCCTTTGGGAATTCAACAAGCAGGTTGTATTTTGAAGTTTCTTTAAATTAAGCTCACACCTCTCAAGAACTTTCTTCAACTAAAACAGTGTTATACATTATGTCGTGGCAACAAAAACAAGTGCAATGTGGAATTATAGGTTTCTAGGAACTAATAATTAGTTAAAAACTGTTTGGGAGAAAAAATTGTCTATTTAGGCTTCAACCTTTGAGCATGTTGACTGAAAGTAGCTGCAATTAGGGTTTTACTGTCATTTGTCCACATCATACTTAGACTTGCACAAGAAAGGTCAGGGTAATTAAATAACAAATGTTGAGTAGTTAAGGCCCGACAAATCCTTAGGTCCAATTAGAGACTCTCAAAGTTATATTATCACTGGTGATGGTGACATAAAACTAGGATTAGGGTCAGAACTAGAATGAAAACCAGTTCTAATCTCGGAAAGCCAAGCACCCAGGAAGTAATGAGTATGGAGAAAGAATGTAAAATGGCATGAATACATTTCTACTGTCTGTGAGATTTCATAACACTTTGAAGCAACTTTTGTTAAAGTTAAACTCATCATTCTATCAATGTGCAGAAGCCAGTACTTTTCCCTTGTTTTGTCTATCTGAAGGCCAAGCTACAAGCACACCGTGGAAGCTGCTGATTGGAGGTCTCCATGCCTCTGCTCTGTATAATACACTTGCATTCTATTGTATCTGTGTTCGTGTGCTTTGTTCGTGCTGTCTCTACCATCGACAATAAAACATGTCTTCTGTCTGAATTTAAGACGCGATCCCAGACTATGCCATCTTCTTCAGGTGGTGGAAGGATGCGGGCCTTGTCTGTAACATCTAGAGAACAGAAGACTCTCTTTTTTTTACACAAAAAGTGTTTTTTTTTTAAGCCAAAACTGAGAAACCTCAAGAGAATGCATCTGGACCAGCACACTTGAACTATCTGCACAGCCCCTGATTCCAGTCAGGCTGTGAGCTGCTGAGACATGGACAACACCAGCGTCCTCTTTTGCATGGACATCATTTGGAACAATTGGATTACACAATTTGGACATAATTTGGACTGAATTGAATTGCTGAATCTGGACACTGAAGCTGAAACGTGTGATTGAAAGACACGTCACAGAAGAATTCATGGCTTGACACAAATGCAGCCTGAAGAATCAACACGGAGAAGTGGGAGAGACTGTTTTCAAAGCAATATCTGGAACCACCATCGACTGATGAAGTTTGGTATTTTACTGAAGATTGTTGACAAGTTTTATGAAAGATCTGAACATGTTTTATGAGTTTTTGAAGTATTCCGAGTTCTGAGTTTTTTGAAGTACCGAGTGAAGTATGAGTTTTGAAGTATTGAGTTATGATGTTATGTTGCTGTTTATCGATCCTGATGGTCACACGTGAATGTATGACCAGAGGGGGGAATGTGAGATTTCATAACACTTTGAAGCAACTTTTGTTAAAGTTAAACTCATCATTCTATCAATGTGCAGAAGCCAGTACTTTTCCCTTGTTTTGTCTATCTGAAGGCCAAGCTACAAGCACACCGTGGAAGCTGCTGATTGGAGGTCTCCATGCCTCTGCTCTGTATAATACACTTGCATTCTATTGTATCTGTGATCGTGTGCTTTGTTTGTGCTGTCTCTACCATCGACAATAAAACATGTCTTCTGTCTGAATGAAAGACGCGATCCCAGACTATGTCATCTTCTTCAGGTGGTGGAAGGATGCGGGCCTTGTCTGTAACATCTAGTGAACAGAAGACTACTTTTTTTTTTTTACACAAAAAGTGTTTTTTTTTCAAGCCGAAACTGAAAAACCTCAAGAGAAACCATGCATCTGGATCAGCACATGGACAATCTGCACAGCCCCTGATTCCACTCAGGCTGTGAGCTGCTGAGACATGGACAACACCAGCGTCCTCTTTTGCATGGACACCATTTGGAACAATTGGATTACACAATTTGGACATAATTTGGAACAATCTGGATTTCTGAATTTGGACATAATTTGGACTGAATTGGATTGCTGAATCTGGACACTGAAGCTGAAACGTGTGATTGAAAGACACGTCACAGAAGAATTCATGGCTCGACACAACAAATGCAGCCTGAAGAATCCAACACGGAGAAGTGGGAGAGACTGTTTTCAAAGCAATATCTGGAACCACCATCGACTGATGAAGTTTGGTATTTTACTGAAGATTGTTGACAAGTTTTATGAAAGATCTGAACATGTTTTATGAGTTTTCTGAGTTTTTGAAGTATTCCGAGTTCTGAGTTTTTTGAAGTACAGAGTTTATGAGTTTTTGAAGTATTGAGTTATGATGTTATGTTGCTGTTTATCGATCCTGATGGTCACACGTGAATGTATGACCAGAGGGGGGAATATGAGATTTCATAACACTTTGAAGCAACTTTTGTTAAAGTTAAACTCATCATTCTATCAATGTGCAGAAGCCAGTACTTTTCCCTTGTTGTGTCTATCTGAAGGCCAAGCTACATGGCACCGTGGAAGCTGCTGATTGGAGGTCTCCATGCCTCCGCTCTGTATAATACACTTGCATTCTCTTGTATCTGTGATTGTGTGCTTTGTTCGTGCTGTCTCTACCATCGACAATAAAACATGTCTTCTGTCTGAATTAAAGACGCGATCCCAGACTATGTCATCTTCTTCATGTCTGCATCCTCATCACCCTAGCTCCTCATATTGCTCGTTCCTGAATAAATCATTACGTGTTATCATCAGCGAGTTGTGGGAGCACTTACTGGGGATGGCCTGCTTGTAGGTGGCCTCGCCCTGAGTGCTGCCCTTGGCTGACTCTTCTCCCGATGGGGGTTGCTTCCTGGTTGCCACGGCGCCAAAGGCTGGAGTAGGCTCGGCCGGCGTCTGGAAGTCTGCAACAACAACACAGAAGATGGTAACTGACAACGCGCTTCACCAAGAAACGTGCAGAGATGGGTTTAGCAAACAATACGGGAAAAGGCATTATGGAAGGGAAAACTTAAATACACACTAGGTTTAAGTGGGAGAGTTTACGTTCTATTGCGCAAAGAGATATCAGGAATGGAATGCATTAAAGACAGAACTTTTTCATCACAAGACAAGCAGTATTTTTTATTTTTTGTATACATAAAATCATGATATTTACAGTGCCTTGCGAAAGTATTCGGCCCCCTTGAACCTTTCGCCACATTTCAGGCTTCAAACATAAAGATATAACATTTTAATTTTTTGTCATGAATCAACAACAAGTGGGACACAATCGTGAAGTGGAACAAAATTTATTGGATAATTTAAACTTTTTTAACAAATAAAAAACTGAAAAGTGGGGCGTGCAATATTATTCGGCCCCTTTACTTTCAGTGCAGCAAACTCACTCCAGAAGTTCAGTGAGGATCTTTGAATGATCCAATGTTGTCCTAAATGACTGATGATGATAAATAGAATGCACCTGTGTGTAATCAAGTCTCTGTATAAACGCACCTGCTCTTTGATAGTCTCAGGGTTCTGTTTAAAGCGCAGAGAGAACCATGAAGACAAAGGAACACACCAGGCAGGTCCGAGATTCTGTTGTGGAGAAGTTTAAAGCCGGATTTGGATACATAAAGATTTCCCAAGCTTTAAACATCTCAAGGAGCACTGTGCAAGCAATTATATTGAAATGGAAGGAGTATCAGACCACTGCAAATCTACCAAGACCCGGCCGTCCCTCCAAACTTTCATCTCAAACAAGGAGAAGACTGATCAGAGATGCAGCCAAGAGGCCCATGATCACTCTGGATGAACTGCAGATAACTACAGCTGAGGTGGGAGAGTCTGTCCATAGGACAACAATCAGTCGTGCACTGCACAAATCTGGCCTTTATGGAAGAGTGGCAAGAAGAAAGCCATTTCTCAAAGATATCCATAAAAAGTCTTGTTTAAAGTTTGCCACAAGCCACCTGGGAGACACACCAAACATGTGGAAGAAGGTGCTCTGGTCAGATGAAACCAAAATCGAACTTTTTGGCCACAAGGCAAAACGATATGTTTGGCGTAAAAGCAACACAGCTCATCAACCTGAACACACCATCCCCACTGTCAAACATGGTGGTGGCAGCATCATGGTTTGGGCCTGCTTTTCTTCAGCAGGGACAGGGAAGATGGCTAAAATTGATGGGAAGACGGGAAGATGGATGGAGCCAAATACAGGACCATTCTGGAAGAAAATCTGTTGGAGTCTGCAAAAGACCTGAGACTGGGACGGAGATTTATCTTCCAACAGGACAATGATCCAAAACATAAAGCCAAATCTACAATGGAATGGTTCACAAATAGACGTATCCAGGTGTTAGAATGGCCAAGTCAAAGTCCAGACCTGAATCCAATCGAGAATCTGTGGAAAGAGCTGAAGACTGCTGTTCACAAACGCTCTCCATCCAACCTCACTGAGCTCGAGCTGACTGATAGAGACATACCCCAAGCGACTTGCAGCTGTAATTGCAGCAAAAGGTGGCGCTACAAAGTATTAGCGCAAGGGGGCCGAATAATATTGCACGCCCCACTTTTCAGTTTTTAATTTGTTAAAAAAGTTTAAATTATCCAATAAATTTCGTTCCACTTCACGATTGTGCCCCACTTGTTGTTGATTCTTGACAAAAACATTTTTTTTTATAGCTTTATGTTTGAAGCCTGAAATGTGGCGAAATGTTGAAAGGTTCAAGGGGGCCGAATACTTTCGCAAGGCACTGTACATAGTGTTTACAAATATCAGTTTTTTGGCGTTCGAAGCTAGGTACCCCAGCTTTAAGACATTTGATTCTTAACTCCACATAAAACACTTAAAGAGATGTATCATACGGTCTTTATGGAAAAGACTATTGAATGCTCCAAACAATGAGTATAAAATCTATGCCAGTGAATCACCTGAGAAATATTCTTGGCGTCGTGGAAATTAAGACATGCTGCACTCATTGATGGCCAGTGTTGGGCACGTTACTTTGAAAAAGTAATTAGTTATAGTTACTTCTCCCAAAAAGTAACTGAGTTACTAACGGAGTTACTCCACTATAAAAGAAACTAGTTACCAGTAAAAGTAACTATTGCGTTACTTTTTCGTTTTGTTCTGGAACATAATGTGCACTCGACGTGCGCATTTTTACCTTTAACCTCAGTGAGTTTACAAATTTTTACTTTGGCCCTTGGAAGCAAAAGGTTTGGGCACCCCTGATATAGACTCATTATCTGCAACGTGACATTTGTCAAGACTTTGTTATAATTTGGATGATTCCGGTTACAGTCCATTTTCTAAATGTTGTTTGTTTTTACAGCCATGATCAAATTATCAACATTATAACAAATAAAGGCTCAATATAACTCACTAACATACATTACTCCTTTGTCATAAGTTGAATTATAGAGGTAAATGTACTTCTGAGCTTTACATGTAGTTTGTACCACCAACCTCTAAAGAAATAAAGCAGGAGAATGTGCTAATGAGCGCGTTCAAAATGGCCCGTCTTCCTTTGTCCCACATGCCACATAAAAATAACCGTCCTTCCGGTGGCTCGTGTGGGTTACACAACCATTAGACGCGGCATCTTATAAATATGCGATAAAGACCATGTCACCTTTTGTTGATTATTCTCACCTCTTTTCCTCCGCGCCTCTTTAATCTCCTCGCACATGCGGTCGAACTCGGGATCCAGTTCTGCAGCAAAAATAGCGTGAGCCGTGTCCTTTAGGCTGCTCGCCCGATGCCTTATCACCTTGTCTGGAAGAGCAGAAAAACAGTGTTTACATTCTATACCTGTATTCCCGAGGTGGAATATGTAATAAAAGAAAGCTCGGGCATTTCGCTTCCTTTGTAGTTTGATGTTACACGCGTTTCTCTCAAGAAAAGGTCGATATCAAAATATTGGATGTGAGAGAAAATGGATGCAAGTATTTTCCCAGCGCTCGAGAAAATATCTCTAAGACATGATAGATCCAAGAGTATATCAATTAATGAGAAAGATGTAGGCATATGCGATGTTGAAGTTTCAAAGTCACGTACAGCATGTATTCTCGAGGGCGTTTTTAAACTCTTTGATGTTTTTCGTTCTATAAAAAGGTAAAGTGAATTGTTGCAAAAGGACAGCAATCGCTACTGTACACCCGGGCTCTCTCATTACTTTGGACGCATGAGAAGAAAAGTTCACGCAGAAGGTGGGACCGGGGTCAGTCGCTAGCAGCATCTTCTGTCTAATTGGAGAGGAGCAGACCTGTGTGTGCGCGTATCTGTGTGTGTGTGTGTGTGTTTTGTAACATCAAAACAGTGGAAATGTTGTAGGCAGACTATCAAACCGATAAAGCACACTCTGGACTTATAGATGGGACGTGAAGCATAATTATGTATATGCCTGTGCAGGTGAATTCCGAAACTAAGAAATAGACAATACGATACCACATTGATAATCAAGGCAACTGCTGTACATAACTATACAACATTAAAGTACTTTTTAACTGCTACAAGGTTTTATACTCAGCCTAAAAATCAAAATTATACAAAATAGCTAAGAGAATTGCACATTCCACCCTGTTTATCTGATCTTTTATTCACTATTATGAGATGAGTTGTAACACTCTTAAATAAGCAGTAAACTCCTTGATAGTGATCACCCGTGGCTCATGAAATCTGTTCCAATGTAGATCGAGTAAGTAATCTGAAGCAACATAATCTGGCAATGGTCAGGGAATATTACTCAAACATGCATGTCCATTATAAAACAAAACCTGTGTAAAAAGGTATTTCGGTCATATACAGTATTTTATCTAAATTGTTTGGAAAACAGATTCACCATTCTTAGAAAAGTGCTGGATTATGCATGTTCTCCATGTTGTTTCTCCAATCTGGGCAACATCAAACTATGGAATTCTAGCATATTTCATAGCTTTTATAGCAAAAATTTAAGTAAAAACACTATAAACCTAGGTCAAAAGTCCCTCTCATGTAAGCTGCCTTGTACATCGGGTCGTCAGGCTGAGGTGGTGCTGCATCCATAAATGTAGATGTGTTGTGTAAACAAAAAAATAAGAATAATATGGACCAACTGAGGCAATTATTTGATTTTCCTTTCCTCCAAATCAACTTAGTGCGTGAAGTGTTTTCCCATGGTCAAAAAGATTATTACCAGCTCCCCAAAGCAATTAAGTATACTCAGCCAGCCAGGAGCACAAGGCTTTTCCCCATAATAAAGTCATTATTTATAGTAGTGGGGAGACAACACGGGCATGACTATATGGGAAGCAGCATGATAAAGATGGCATAGGGCATAAGCAGGACTGACCACAGTGGGATAATGGGCTCTGCTCCTCCCGTACACTGCCCCAAAAGCCTAATTGTAAAGAGGTTGGGCCAAATTCCCTGGACCAAACACAGTGGAGCAGCAAGGGGGTTCGTTAGCCTCCTTTATTAAAACAGCCTAATTGCATTTTTCCCCTTTAGTGTATCATTTGTACCCTCTGCTTTCCAACAAACGACCGCAGCTCAAAGGAGAGGTATGATTTATTCATTTGGGTTGGCAAAATACAGTCTCCCATTAGTGAAAGGCAGAAACAGCAGAATTCTGAGCCATCTAAACACACAAGGTGTATATTAAACAGGCCACAATAGTTCAATTGGAACTGCAGGTCATTTTGTTTGGGGAATTCAATTAGACTGTGCCCTAAAAAAAATTATATGTGTATATACAGTGCCTTGCGAAGGTATTCGGCCCCCTTGAACCTTTCAACATTTCGCCACATTTCAGTCTTCAAACATAAAGATATAAAATTTATAAAATGAAAAAGTTATAAAATGAATCAACAACAAGTGGGACACAATCGTGAAGTGGAACGAAATTTATTGGATAATTTAAACTTTTTTAACAAATAAAAAACTGAAAAGTGGGGCGTGCAATATTATTCGGCCCCTTTACTTTCAGTGCAGCAAACTCACTCCAGAAGTTCAGTGAGGATCTTTGAATGATCCAATGTTGTCCTCAATGACTGATGATGATAAATAGAATGCACCTGTGTGTAATCAAGTCTCCGTATAAAGCACCTGCTCTTTGATAGTCTCAGGGTTCTGTTTAAAGCGCAGAGAGAACCATGAAGACAAAGGAACACACCAGGCAGGTCCGAGATACTGTTGTGGAGAAGTTTAAAGCCGGATTTGGATACAAAACGATTTCCCAAGCTTTAAACATCTCAAGGAGCACTGTGCAAGCAATTATATTGAAATGGAAGGAGTATCAGACCACTGCAAATCTACCAAGACCCGTCCGTCCCTCCAAACTTTCATCTCAAACAAGGAGAAGACTGATCAGAGATGCATGAGGCCCATGATCGCTCTGGATGAACTGCAGATAACTACAGCTGAGGTGGGAGAGTCTGTCCGTAAGACAACAATCAGTCGTGCACTGCACAAATCTGGCCTTTATGGAAGAGTGGCCATTTCTCAAAGATATCCAATAAAAGTCTCTTAAAGTTTGCCACAAGCCACCTGGGAGACTAGATTACTTACCAAACATGTGGAAGAAGGTGCTCTGGTCAGATGAAACCAAAATCAAACTTTTTGGCCACAATTCAAAACGATTTGTTTAGCGTAAAAGCAACACAGCTCATCACCCTGAACACACCATCCCCACCTCAGCTGTAGTTATCTGCAGTTCATCCAGAGTGATCATGGGCCTCTTGGCTGCATCTCTGATCAGTCTTCTCCTTGTTTGAGATGAAAGTTTGGAGGGACGGCCGGGTCTTGGTAGATTTGCAGTGGTCCTGATACTCCTGCAGTGGTCTGATGCTCCTTGAGATGTTTAAAGCTTGGGAAATCTTTTTGTATCAAAATCCGGCTTTAAACTTCTCCACAACAGTATCTCGGACGTGCCTGGTGTGCTCCTTAGTCTTCATGGTTCTCTCTGTGCTTTAAACAGAACCCTGAGACTATCAAAGAGCAGGTGCATTTATACGGAGACTTGATTACACACAGGTGCATTCTATTTTTCATCATCAGTCATTTAGGACAACATTGTATCATTCAAAGATCCTCACTGAACTTCTGGACTGAGTTTGCTGCACTGAAAGTAAAGGGGCCGAATAATATTGCACGCCCCACTTTTCAGTTTATTTGTTAAAAAAGTTTAAATTATCCAACAAATTTAATTCCACTTCACGAGTGTGTCCCACTTGTTGTTGATTCATGACAAAAAAAATGTATTTTATATCTTTATGGTTGAAGCCTGAAATATGGCGAAATGTTGAAAGGTTCAAGGGGGCCGAATACTTTTGCAAGGCACTGTATCTGTATATGTATATATCTACACAGTGCACTTTATTTGAACATTGCTGTAACATAACAAAACATTTTGTTATGTTACAGCCTTACTCCTAAATTGATTCAATCTTTTTTTTTCTCACAATTCTACACACAACACCCCATAAGACAACATGAAAAAAGTTTTTTTGTGATTCTTGCAAATTTATTTAAAAAAAAAATTATACAGGATGTCTCTGTACATTGCCGCATTCACCCAAACCTGCTTCTTTCACCTCCAAACCATCTCAAAGATTAAAAACATTCTCACTCAACGCCCTCATCTTCTCCCGCCTCGATTACTGCAACTCCCTCCTCTCCGGTCTCGACTCCAAATCCCTCTCCCGCCTCCAACTGCTTCAGAACGCAGCAGCCAGACTTCTCACTGGTTTTAACAGAAGGGAGCACATCACCCCTGTCTTAGCGTCCCTCCACTGGCTCCCTGTGCGTTTTAGAATTGATTTTAAGATTTTACTGATTACTTTTAAAGCTCGTTTAGGTCTGGCATATTTAAGAACTTTTAACCCCCTACGAGCCCCCCCCTGCAGCCTGTTGACCTGTTGACCGTTCCAAGGTCGAGGCTCCGGACGAAAGGTGACCGAGCCTTCTCTGTCCGGGCTCCTCGGCTTTGGAACGACTTGCCCGAGGAGATAAGGCTAGCACCATCAGTATCCTCTTTTAAATCACTTCTTAAAACCTACTTTTATCAAATAGCTTTTAATTGTCAGCTTTAAACTTATAATGTCGTATTTTACGGTCTGTCCTGTCTTTGTTTTGTCTTCTTGTGTTTCCTCTGTTTGTCTTGTCTTCTTGTATTCTATCTTATTGTTTTAACTTTGTATTATGACTGATTTATTGTTTATTATGCAGACTGTGCAGCACTTTGTTAACATTGTTTTTGAAAAGTGCTTTACAAATAAAGATTTATAATTATTATTATTATTATCTTGACTAGTCTCCCAGTTCCTGCCGCTGAAAAACATCCCCACAGCATGATGCTACCACCACCATGCTTCACTGTAGGGATGGTATTGGCTTGGTGATGAGCAGTGCCTGGTTTCCTCCAAACAACACGCCTGGCATTCACGCCAAAGAGTTAAATCTTTGTCTCATCAAACCAGAGAATTTTTTTATTCATGGTCTGAGAGTCCTTCGGGTGCCTTTTGGCAAACCCCAAACAAAGGGGCGCTTCCGTCTGGCCACTCTACCATATAGGCCTGATTTGAGGATTGCTGTAGAGATGGTTATCCTTCTGGAAGGTTCTCCTCTCTCTACAGAGGAATGCTGGAGCTCTGACAAAGTGACCATCGGGTTCTAACCCTGACTAAGGTCCTTCTCCCCTGATTGCTCAGTTTAGATGGCCGGCCAGCTCTAGGAAGAGTCCGGTTGTGAAGGCGATAACAAAGTCTGGGATCGTGTTCTAAATTCAGACAGAAGGCATGTTTTATTGTTGATGGTAGACAGCACGAACACGAGCATGAACAAAAGATGTTACAGACTGCAAGTGATAATATAGCATGGAGGAATGAACACTGTCCAATCAGCTTTCGCCGCGATGCCAGCAGCTTCAACCTTGAGATAGACAAAACATGCTGTGGAAAAGTACTGGCTTCTGCATATGTAAGAATGATGAGCTAGAACTTTAACCATAGTTGCTTCAAAGTGTCATGAAATATCCAAAGGTGGTTCCAAACTTCTTCTATTCACAGATGATGGAGGCCACTGTGCTCATTGGGACCTGCAAAGCAGACATTTTTCTGTACCCTTCCCCAGACTTGTGCCTCAAGATAATCCTGTTTCAGAGGTCTACAGACAATTCTTTTGACTTCATGCTTGGTTTGTGCTCTGACATGCACTGTCAACTGTGGGACCTTATATATACACACAGGTGTGTGCCTTTCCAAATCAAGTCAAATCAACTGAATTTACCACAGCTGGACTCCAATTAAAGGGGACATATGAAAAATCCACTTTTTGTGCCTTAAATGTCTTATGTTGTGTAGTTGGAGCCTCTAGAAGTGCAAAAAAGTTGAAATCAGTCTCTTCATGGGTTGCAGAGAACACTTCATATTCTGTTTAGGTAAGATTTTTCAAAACGTTCTGATTTGGCCATTCTCTATTACGTTTTTAGAATTATTACGTCACAGTATTTGCAGCGAGACTGCTATATAAGGGCATGGGCGTCTAACAAAACACACTCCTCTACTGTGCATCACTTAATTTGTAGTCCAAGCTCAAGGATGCCAGCGAACAGGGCTGGACTGGCCATCGGGCGTACCGGGCAATGCCAGAAGGGCCGATGCCCATATTTGGGCCGGTCTGTCTGCCTCATACAAAACACATGTTTATGAGAAGTCTAAATCCGTTGAGAATTGTTCGAGCGGGGCGCGCGTATCCGCGGGGCACCTACTGTATGTACTCGAACGGGATTCCGCCACCTCAGCCGCCGCAGTGTTCCGGGGCATCTGCGGCCGCTTTGTAATGAGCGGCTTCCGCGTCCAGAATCTATGCATTTCAGTCTTTTTTGACCAATTCTCATCCCTGTAACAAACAATAGTGTTGTCTGTGTCCACCTCCCTCACTCTGAGACATGTTTATTACTCTCTTGTAATGTAGACTATTGCATTTTATTTTATTGTTGAAACTGCACATATCCTGATCCTCTACAGTATTTGCTTCCACATACTGTATAAACTAGGAGTCGGCAACCTGCGGCTCCGGAGCGAAGAGTCGATAATAAGACTGGACTAAGAATGAAAATTAACATTTGCTTTCAGTCAATGAGGAAGGACTGCTTCATGTTTGCGATGTAATGAGAAGTTTCTATGAGATAATTGTATCTGTGATTAGAAACTACAAAAATGGCCGCTCGGGGTGGAGTTGAACCTGTGCCACCTGGATGGGGGCGTGGTCAAAAGCGCCTCATTTGCATTTAAAGAGACAGCACCAAAACAGGTCGCTCTCAGACGCACCTCAGAAGTAGCCTGACTCTCGCCAGACCCATGTAGTTCGCTGCACTTCACACATGAGTCTGGTACTGAGCCATAGCGGTTGGATTTCAGAAGGCAGGGCCTTGTAAAAAAATCCTTGTATGTGATTGGATAGACCACTTGTCCGTTATCTTGAATAAAGTCTGCTTTCAACCACTCACATCGAAGCACACGGCTCCCATAGGTTGCCAAATCCCAGCAAGATTTTACAACCCAAAATCTGCGAGAATACCCACACACAAAAAACACTCAGAATGATTTTTTGGCTAAAAACGTAATGAAATAAACTTGGGCTATCATGATTCTGTTTATTGTCTTTCTGTTTATCTAATACCTACAAGTCTCTTGGAAAAAAATATGCAGGAACCACCAAACCTGGCAACCCTTGCTGAATAGTGTGTAAACAGGATCACTGAACCAGTGCTTCAACCAAACTTTACAGGAACATTTGACTCTTAAAACACACATTTATCAACATAGAACCATCTACATCTCGCCTCAAATTGCATTAAAAGTGACATCTGTGTCTTAATTCGATCGTATTTACTCTTTTAAAAAGATTCGCGGACTTTTCCTCTCGCTGAGAGAAGCTGGAGAAGGCAGTGCAAACCCCACGTAACACCGGCAATCCTGATTGGTCGATTAAAAAATAATCTGGGGAAGGCGTTCGCTATGGGCTCGATACCAGACCCATGTGGTTCAGCCAAACGCCTCTGGTGGAGCATGGCGGAACTACAAGGGTCTACCTCAGAACAGGTGTAGAAGAAAGGCCTGTGGAGCTACAAATAATGAGACTCAGACCCAAGCATTGCAGTTATGCTTTATATAGGCCACAAATTAATGATTTAGATGTAAAAATCCATTATTTGAAAACCCGATATGTCCACTTTAAGAAGTAGAAGCATCTCAAGGATGATCCGTAGAAACAGGATGCACCTGAGCTAAATTTTGAGCTTCATGGAAAAGGCTGTGAATACTTACAATATGTAAATGTGGTTTCTTATTTTTTTTTATTTTAATACATTTGCAAGAATCTCAAAAAAACTTTTTTCATGTCGTCATTATAGGGTGTTGTGTGTAAAATTTTGAGTAAAAAAATGAATAGAATTCATTTTGGAATAAGGCTGTAACATAACAAAATGTGAAAAAATTGAAGCGTTGTGAATACTTTCCGCATTCACTATATATATATTTTTTTATTTTTTTTTTATTTTTTTTTTAATTAGGATCAGATCAGAAGACACCATTAGATACGCTTTTTTACACAATTTTCTAGTTACATAATGTACAAATGTCTGCCCTTTTTGGGACAATCAACTCAGAAAACCTTTTGTTATGAGAGTCCTTAATTATCTGTTGTTACAAGCAGTCCTACAGCATCTCCATCTTACTTTTAATAATGTGCTTTTTTCCCCCCCGTTAATTTCTTATAAAAAAACAAGATATAAAAAATACTTGCTAATACGTGCTGTGACATTTTCTGCTATGTTTCTATGGTCATACTACCCTGGAACATTCAGTGCAAAACAGCATAAGTGTGACTGAAATTCCTTCATCTATGAAATTGTTCTATACTACACATACGGTTCATTAGGTTATGTGTGTTACGGTCAATTTACTTTTATTATTTGCATTTTTGAGCAACAAAAACACTGCATATTTTGACATTTGCATATAATTCATATTCTGATTCTAAGGAACACCATTGTTACAGAAAAGGATCTAAGTGCAAAGACGAACTCCACAAGTGAGACAAGGCAGGGAGGAAACAATTAAATTTTCATGCATATAGCCCGGCTACAGCGTATGAATTACACTGGGAATTCTATTTTCAGCAGAGGCAGGCTCCACTGCCCTTTGAATATCAAGGCAGAACCAAACCTTTTAAAGGCTGTATTATTTTACACACCACAAGCTCAGAGTCATTACAGGGGAACAAAGGGCAGAGCGGAACAACATATAATAGCAATGAAACACCTCATTTGAATATTAAAACCTTCTGAGGAGCTTCATTTGCCCCAGGAAGAATATTTGTGATAGCAATAATGAAGAATGAATCCATTTGAGCCTAATTTAATGAGTTGCATGGATTAGTTTTATTAAGTTTGACTGCCCAGTATTAGAACTGGCAAAAAATAGAGTTCTAAGTCTACATAAGAATCTGAATTATTTGTATTGCCATGTGAGTAATAATAAGTCACAAACAAGGAATTTGCTTTGGCTCTCAGCAAGTAAAAAGGTAAAAACTAGAATAAGGCATGCATAAAGAAAAAATCTACATAACCTTTATTAAAATTACTTCTTTAAACAGGTGCACTAAGTACACACAAAATACATTTAGCAGTGCAATAAAGTGACAGTAGTGACAGTAAAGTGACAGTCATGAACAGTGACGAGTTAATAAGAGTTCATGAGTCAACTAAAACTGTTCTTATGGAGGTTCTGGTCCCACTGTGAGTAAAAATGTGTCCTTACTGTGAGTGGGAAATGTTGTTCATTTACAGAATCTGGCATTAAACTTCTGAATGTTTACGTGAATATTCCCTTCTAGAAAGAGAACATTTAAACATGCCTTTGAAACTCTCCTTAAAATGTACATAGCTTTAGTTAGTGATTTCAGGAATGATATGGTAATCAGTATAAAAGATGTAAAGTATTGTAAAAGTAAAGTGGTCTGTAAAAAACTTTCTAGGTTTTTTCAGCAATGAGGTGAGAGGTGGATCACGTTATTCCTTTCAGGCAATGTTAGAGTCAAAACCATTGATACGGTGTAGTGTCAATACACTTTATCAAGGGTGAGTGTGAGACACTATATGGCTTCAGAAAAATGGCTCCGAAGCAGAGAGAATAGCCGGATAAAATTACAATATTTGGAATATTTTTGAGCGTCAAATGTGTCAAAATGAGGAATGAAATTTGCTGCTATAAGGGGCTCAAGACATGTCTAAAGTTTCAAAGCGCTGCCACAGTTTGGCAACAAAAAGACAAGACTATGGCTCCTAATATTTAGTTGACAGCTGATATCTATAAGAAGAAACAAGGGAACAATAGTCAATCAACCAAAGATTGACTATTGCAGATTATGCACATTGACGTTGGAATCACAGTCTCCAATGTGAAGATCCAAAAACATGATCAGTGTTTGACTCACCACTTGGATCTTTGTCGGGGTTGTACTCCAAAGCGTTGCTGCAGATGAGGTCCACGTCTCGGAGAAAATCCTTCACCGTCAGATACTGATGTTTATCGATCTTGGTCATGACGGTGGAGAGGTCCATGGGCTGCCGTATCACCTCCAGGTAGTCTGACACCTGGGACAAACGCAGATATAAGCATCTCGGAGAAGAATGTAGCCTGGCGTTTTGAGTGAGAGCCGTATAACCAAGCCATATTAAGTGTGAAATGGTAAGACTTTTCAGAGGTTGTCAAGCTAAGTTGATAGATGACCCTTTTTTTTTACATTATCCCTTACTTTGTTTAAAGGAAAATATAAATTTTACAATTTATCTGCTCAGTGCGGCAGCAGTACCCAACTTTCAAACCACAAAACATTAAACAACGTAAAAGAATCCACCTACCAACTAGCGATGCAATAGTGTTTAAAAAGGCTCTTTCTAACAAGTTTGGAAAACAAAAAACTTTTTCTAATAACATGAAGAGAGTATTTCTTCATATCATTTCCATCCATCCATCCATCCATCCATCGTCTTCCCCTTAATCCATTTCTGGGTCGGGGGGCTGACAATCAAGGATGCCACCTGATTCACAGAGTCCACTTGAGAGCATAGCCTGGATATTTCAGAAGGGGCTTCAGGCAAAGTGGGTTAATTGTCTTGCCCAAGGACACAACAGCAGCAGACACCAGTGGGAGTTGGTGGGGAAGGTCTCGAGGTCTTGAACCCCCAACCTTCGGGCTCAAAGGCCAATGCTCTACAAACTGAGCCACTGTCGCCACCTCATATGGACAAACCCTATTGGACAAATCTTTTTGGAGAAACGTTATAATTTCAGTGAATGGCAACTGTAAACGGCGATGCTATACAGTATGTATGGAACATTTGTAACACCACAGGCGTCTTCCCAAAGGACACATGCTGTAAATTATCATTAAGTAATCCTTCAAAACAAATGATCAACGCAGCCCATGTAGATACGCAGTTCTTTTTAACTGTACACAGAGTCGCTTTAGTTTTACCTCCTCAATGTCGACGGGTTTGCTGAAGATGTTGAATCTCTTGTCGATTGCCAGGCGCTTGGTCACATCCCTGAGAAAAAGCCGGAGCTCACGCAGCGTGTTTTCCTCCTGCTCAAACAGACGCCGCAGCTCCTCCACAGACAGCTCCCTGGGGCCCGGCGCTGGGGCTACAGGCAGAACCTCCTCACAGCGCTCTGGAGAGAGACGAGGAAACTTATGGACAAGCAGCGAGACAATTGAAATTCCACCTTGAAGTATTTAGTTACAGAGTAGAAAGGAGCCAAAATAATATATAAATAATAAATAGAATACATTTAAAAAATTATAACCGTATTGTCCGCATAGCTTTACTTAAGGACGGCTCATTGCAATGCCCTGAGTCAGAACCAAACATGGAAAGGCAGCATTTCAGATTCATGCAGCTAAAATCTGGAACAGTCTTCCTGAAAATGTGAGACAGGCTTCTAACAGTGTTCAGATCCAGGTTAAAAAGACTTCAATAGCTATGCATACATCTTGCATACAACTTGCCTTGCCAATGGCCTCTACTGTTCAGGTCTATGAGTCATAAATGGAGTCATACATGGAGATCAGGCTATTGCATCTTCTGTACTACTATGTGGTCTGTGCCATCATGCAAATTTCCTGCTTTTCTTTCCAAAACTAGCTAAATAAAAGAGCTTTCAAAACTGCCAGAAGTCTATCCTGCCGGTATTGAGATTGTAGCATTTTAGCATCGCTGTATAACTTAAGAACAGCATGGAGTTGGGGCCTTTCTGTGATCGAGATCCGTGTCAGCCTAAATCATATTGAAAAATATTGTCCTCTACATATACCCTATTTTTAAGGCTTAAAAGTCCTTGATACAGAGAAGCCAGTGATGGTGTGGAATCAGATAAACATGAGCTGTGGTATCGAATAAAACACGAGCAAACATTCCTATCTACCAACTGCCAGAACTTCCCTTCAAGCTGAAACCTGTGATCCTTTGTCTTGTAAAAATCAATGCAGGCACACACTAAAACAATGTAAAAACCCTCAAAGTATTTTCATTTGTAATATTCATGGACAAACCCGAGTACAGCGGAGGATTAGCCTCTGGCCAATGACTGCGTGATGAAGCGAGGCGAGCAGAGACGAACTCCTCCTCTCCCCAGACATCGGCCCTCGCTCTCGGCATCTGCCAACATTGTTAGGAAGGCTCCGTGGCTCCCGAGGTCACCGCGCTCACCAGCAACAATGCAAGCTGTGATTCTAATTTCATTCAATGCCGACTGGGTCCTCTCATAGCAGCTCTGGCTCTGCTTTCCTGTGGGCAGCCCGGTAGGAGGCTCAGGCCGGGAAGGACCCCTGAAGAGTGAAGCGCGAGTTAAGCGAGGGACCCCTGCCTCGCAGCAATGAGGAGTCTGCCGAGGAACGCGTTGTACCGCTGTATTCCCATTTGAAAGACTAGGTGGACACTTACGCTATATTGGAGTAGAACAAGCAGGACTTTGGGAGAGCTGCAGACTGGAGAGGCAACGGGGGGCTAGAAGGACGGCTGGAGGGCAAGTGACGCGTCTCAGAGAAAAGAGAGGAAAAGAATCACCTACTGACACTGGGCAGAGCCTATAAAAGGTGTCCAAAGGGTCAAATATAAGATATAATTCAATACTAAAACTAGTCCTAAAACGCCAGGCTCTTGCTTTGCCAGGAATGTTCAAAAGAGCTGCGTTACACTTGTTTTTATCCATGAAGACAAACGCTGTGGACCAGTTATCTTCCCTTTTGTATGTAAACAACAGTAAATGGATTTACACTCCAAGCGCCCGTCATGTCTGGTCTGAGTTCAGTTAGACAATTGGGAAATAATCAAAGCAAAAAAATCAACCAGGGGAAAAAACAAAGATGAAGGAAAAATTATGTGAAAAAAATATATAAGAAATAGACACCACAGTCTCTTTAGACCAGATAACAAACCACTGTAAAGTGCAGAGAGGACTAACAGAAGTCCTCTCTGCACTTCTGGTCGTTTTCTGTGAAGGAATAACTGAAAAGTGTCGTATTAAGTTGAGGCCATCCTCTTTTCCAACCTGTTCTCAACCCTGAAACACCACTACAAGCCTTTTAGTGTGTTTAAAAACAAAAAAACAAATGAGTCCTTCATGTTTTTTTGCCTCCAGTTAAGCTATTATACTATTGATGCAACAATACATACATTGTTTTACTTGGAAAATGGAAGTCATAAAGTAAATTCTAAACTTGGAGCTTTTCTGAGACAGCTTTTAACTGTTAAAATAATGCATTGCTTTAAGTTCTGTAATGCACTCGTTTCTCAAAAAAAAAAACAGAATTGGCTTGCTTATTTTCAGTACTTGAGAATCATATTGAAAATGAATTTCGGTTAAAACAGTTGAAATAGCTTGAGGGCAGTGCAGCCATATTTGGTGATCTGAAATCCCTCAATGGAATTACTTCAAATTCAAAGCATTTAACTCAATCCAGCACTAAAATTAATACTTACAAAATGCTTTTTTTCCAAATGTGCCATCAAAGCTAATCAGTTCCAGTACATTTAACGGACTCCAAAGTGGACTACATGGAGGACAGAGAAGGGCAGAGGAGACAGCGGAGCCCCGTGGGACTGACAGTAGACATAAATCACACGCGTTGGCCGAAGCCTGGGTGCAGTGGTTACCTCGGATCCGCAGGCGTGGGGGGGCCCGGGCAGCCTGCACCAGCAAAAGGTCAGAGAAAAACTTCCTCCTGTCCTCCTCTCCTGGTGGTCCGAGCGTCACGACCTCTCCATAGGTTTGCTGGAACATGCTCTGCACCTACAGTGAACAAGAGCCAAGGAAACAATGGGATGAGGACACGAGTGGTGACCCCAAAAGGGTGAAACTATATGAAGCACCTTTTCTTCCAAAACAGTGAGGACAGTTTTCACATGTAAGTAAGTAAGTAAGTAAAGTTTATTTGTATAGCGCCTTTCACAGACCAGGGTCACAAAGCGCTTCACACATTAAAATACAAAATACACATACAAGTCAGATAAAACAAACACAGAAAACACAATTTACATTCACAGAGGCCTATGAACAATGGTGCGAGAACGCCTGTCCAAACAAATGTGTCTTTAGTTGGGACTTAAAATCATCAACAGTCTCTACGATACGCAGAGACTGAGGAAGCTCATTCCAAAGGCGAGGAGCAGCTGCCTGGAAGGATCTGTCTCCTCTGGTTTTGAAACGAGTCCGGGGGACCATCAACAGGTTCTGAGTAGAGGACCTCAGACTCCTGTTGGAGACATAAGGGTGGATCAGGCCCTGGATGTATTCAGGCGCCTGACCATGAAGGGCCCTAAAAGTCAACACCAGAATTTTAAAATGTATTCTGTGTGAGACAGGGAGCCAGTGTAAGGCCTTTAAGACAGGGGTAATGTGGGCTCTCCTGTGGGTGCGGGACAAAAGCCTTGCAGCAGAATTTTGGACGACCTGTAAACGAGCCAGGTCTTTTTTACTAAGACATGTAAGCAGGCTGTTACAGTAGTCCAATCGCGAGGAAACAAAAGCGTGGACAATCATCTCCAGCTCCGGACCCGAGACCATTTGTCTGAGCTTAGAGATGTTGCGCAAGTGGAAATTGCAGTTTCGGGTCAGCTGTTTGGTGTGTCGTTCTAGGGACATCCCTCCATCAAAAGTGACTCCCAGGTTCCTCACACTCTTTTTTACTGAGCTACTTAGGTCACCAAAGTGTTGAGCAATAACAGAAACAATACTGTCCGGGGCTAACACTAAGGTTTCTGTTTTACTGGAGTTCAGCTGGAGGCTATTTTCACTAAGCCATATCTTTATTTTGTCCAGACAGTTAGTAAGAGCAACCAGTCTCTGGGGCTCAGAGGGCTTAAAAGAGCAGTACAGCTGGAGATCGTCAGCATACAGGTGGTAGGAGACCTCACTGAACTGCTGGATCAGCTTTCCTAGCGGGAGCAGGTACAACATAAATAAAATAGGCCCAAGAACGGAGCCTTGGGGTACACCCCACTGTAGGTCTGCGGATTCAGACACCACATTGTTTGAAGACACACAAAAGGTTCTACCTGTAAGGTATGATCTAAACCACTCTAACACAGAGCCTGACATACCAACACATGAACACAAAATTCTCTCATTGTGTACCGTGTGTATATAAACTATGATGAAAAGTTAGGTATCCCACTTTTAAGAGGATATTAATGGACGAAGGAAAGTACTCCTGAATGCTCACATGTTATAATCCTGTTATAAAGTGGGATTCTTCAAATGATTAACCATGTTTTTGTTTATCCATTTCCACATGACTGTCCTGAGCTCCACAATCCTACAGAATATGAATGAGAATGTTTTCAATAGTTATCATCAGTGAACAAATTTCCCGAACTATAAATAAAACTTGGTCTGGTGCATACGAACAATGAATAATTATAATAAAAAAAATCTATTGTATTCTAGAAATAAACTGAAACTTTTTCAAAGATCTGGCACAATCCAAACTGAGAATTTTTATTCAGTTCAAAAGTAAACAATTCCATGGTCCTGACCTTCTATAAAAAACCTGAATGATTAAAACACTTGGGTTCACTTTATTGAGGAATGTATACAAGATCTAAACATAGTTGATTAGGTTTCAACGGCACAAACTCGCCTCGTCTGTATGATTTTATTACCAAAATCCAAGCCCAGCAATTTATATTCCGTGTCTTGTCGGGTCCCATGGGTGCATCCCAAAGCTGACAAAGCTCTTTCTGCCCTTTCCATCCGTCTTTCTCATCGATCTGAAAGCTTGACATGTTTGTTCGTGCTTTCTTTCCATATCATTCTCTCTGGTCTTTGCAGCTCGTGGATCATAGCCCTCTGTGCGTGGGAAAATAAAACGGGGCAGAAGTGAGGCAACGTATGGCTGAGCAACCATTTTTCCAAAGGAGGATAACAGAGGATGACGCAAGAAAATATTTAGAAAAGGCAGCAGAGGTGAAAATAATGCAAACCAGCAGGTGTGGAACATTAAACAGCCATGACTCAAGCTGGACAATGGTCAACGTGGTTCTATTTCACCGGCCTCAGCTCTGGACCAGGACGATAGGAGGTCACAGGACTTAGAAATTATGTATTTTTGTGTCTTTCCATCTTGTTTTTGGTCAGATTTATTTCAAAGAAATGTTACTACAGGCATATAAGTCAAAAGTTGGTAACAAAGATAATACATATTCTGCAAGTACACAGATAAAATATATAAATGTCTGAAAAGGAGTGGGAAGAAGAAAACTCACCCCTTTTTCCAGTGGGAACATAAATGATACATGCTACAGCATTGATTTCTTGTTGAAATGCAGCTCTACAGTTAGACATACACCAATGGGCGGCACGGTGGCTGAGTGGATAGCACTCTCGCCTCTCAGCAAGAAGGTCCTGGGTTCGAATCCCGGTTGGACCAGGGCCTTTCTGAGTGGAGTTTGCATGTTCTCCCTGTGTCTGCGTAGGTTTCCTCCGGGTGCTCCGGTTCCCCTACCACTAAAAATCTGTACAATAGGTCTGGCATGTGCCTCCTGTACTGGCACCCCCACTCCCAAAAATAACAATTGTAAACCGCTTTGAGACTCCAATGTGCAGTGAAAAGGCGGTACATAAATAAAGATTACTTACTACTACTACTTACCAATAGATTTAAAATGGCCTTTTCATCAAAGGCAAAGATAACCAAAACATATCTTTACAGTGTGTATTATGTATGACAGGATTTAGCTTGCATGAATAAAATGGGTCGACATCAGCCTTGAAAACATATTGACTCATGAGGAATGGCCAATTGGAGTAGGGGCAGTTATCCAGCAAATAGCCTAGTATCCTTCTAAGTGATTTTACTCCGTATTGATTTTACGTGAACTTGAGTTGTTGAATGTTGATGTAATTTATAGCTTCACAAGTCAGTAGGATACTAGCTCCAAAGACAAACATAATAACTGTTTTGTGTCTTGAGGGCATCTGCATTAAAATAGTTTGATAACCCCTCACACTTGTAACAGTCAAAAACACTGGAATTCAGAGAAAATCAGAGTATGGATCTGAATGAACTTCTGGCAAAAAAAAGTGAAGGCTGGTGTCTGGGCCAGAGCCTGTGGTGTCAGATCTGAGAGGGGAGCTGCCTGTTCCACACTGAGGTTTGGAGCAGAGACAGAAGCTGTCAATGTGTCTCCAGCCAGAAAGTGAAAAGACACTCCCTGCAAGTCACTCCACAGAATATATATATGATGCAATTATAGAACTAGAATGCTTTCGAATAATTTTTTTATTCAATGGAGACCTTATTAACCAAAAACAACAGGCAAGGCAAGAATATTTGTATAGCGCAGTTCATACAAAGCCACTTTAGGTGTGCAACAAAAATATATAATCACACAAAGCATTAAAAAAGAGTGAGGATAGAATCCTTCACTAGTATGCACCGTACTTCCTGGTTTTAGTCAGGACCCTGTGAGTAGGCCGTTACAGTAGTTTAACCTAATGGAGACAAATGCATATAGATCTGAATCTCCAAGTCTGCTTTCAACGCTGGATTTTTTATGCTACACTACTACATCTACGCTCCTTGAAAAACGACAAAGAAAGTATTTTGGTTTTTTTTAAATCCTTTGTGATGCCAAGGGGAGCCAGAACGTGAGCTCAGAGAAATCAAATCTTTTTAACAGTAAGTAAAAAAGTGAGGGTAAATAGAAAGTCTGCTCTGGGACCAGCAGGAACTCTCAGAGAAGAGAAAACTATAGCACCAAGCCTCGGGTCTAGCCTGATCAAGCAACAAGCATGAAGCAAGAGTGACCTGTCATTGAACAAACATCATGCGGCCATCTCAAAGCTTTGTCATAGCTGTTCTTGAGGGGTTTGCAGTTGAGAATTGATCAAATGTTTAAAAATGATGAGAAGCATAGCAAAACTGCTGTCTACATTTCAACTGACAAACACTTTTTATTATTAAATGAATGTACACATTTATTTTAGTGTGTTTAAATGTCTTACAGAGGGGAACTCATTTGGTGAAATGTTTTATAGAACTATTCAACACAAAACCTCTACTTCATCTAATTAAACATATAATTATTAATAGTAGACTACATTGTATAATTTCCAGTAGGGCACAAAAATCCATTGCAGGAGAACATGGGTTTGATTCGGTCCTTTAAGTAAACGAACAAGTCAATACACTGGCCAGACTCATTTTAAACAGTTAAGGCCTACAATTTCACATGGTCAGCAGAAATTCACAAAAGAGGACCATTTTTAGATGAAGATGATATGTAGACACATTAATCTAGAGAAAAAATTAAGCAAGCAAGATGGCTTATAAAAAGTGCATTTAATATTTGAAATATTTTGAAAACAGTAAAACAAGAAGTAAGCCAACATTTTTAAACACCAACCTTAAATATGTAGCATTGCGATGATAGTTACTCTGAACAAAGCGCACAAGGCTCTACAGGACACTTGTTATTCAAGAGTTGCTTTTCTCCACTGGACTGATACAAGTGGATCCTTGGCCTTGGATTTCCTCTAACTTTGCATCAAGGGCCAGAACATTATGGCAGGAAAAATGGCAGAACTGAATATGGAGATGTGTGGACTCTTATTACCTAAAGCTGGAGCACACAACTTTGAAACCACAAAAAAATGTAATAAAATACATGTTACTAGTTCCTCGCTCTCAGAATAATTCTGTCCTACCACTAGTTTTGCATGCATGTATTTTTGACCTCTTTCACACCTTCAAATCAGCTTTTTCAGTGAAAAAGAGGAAAAAATAATTAACGTTTAAAAAAAATTATTACAGGGCCACAAAATGTTACCGACTTTTGGGAAACAAAGCGGTAGAGCTTAGGTACTCATAAATTATAGGTCAATATTAAGATTTAAAATACAATAAATACATAGCTATGAGCTACAAGTGACATACAGTAGATAGAACATCCCCATATGGCAGCCAGCATCTTCAAAAAAGAGAAATCCAATGACATTTCAATTCATAGTCTACATGTGTATTATTGCCATGTGTTTACTATTACAGGTACTTCACACACTAAACCAGTGTATAGTGCAGAAGTGAAAAGTGCGGGGGCCATCAGCTCCCTGGCCTTGGCCTGGACCCAGTGCTGACTCTGAGCCAGAGCTGAAGCTCCACTCTCCACAAAGAGGTTGAAAACACTGGAAGCTGTGTGCTGCAGCATATTTATGTGCCGTGTTTGTCCTGAGGTGAAGAGGGGCGTCTGCCAAACCCCCGGACCTCATTAAAGGCCTTCTGCTACTCTCTCCATTTGCAGTTCTACTACATCCAGGAAATCAACTTCCAACCCTGTTGGGTTCATGATCTAGAATTAATGATGACATAGTATCGAATGGGGGACTAGAGCAGATAGACTAAAGCAATGATTTAGACTGATGATTCAGATTAAAAATATCCACAGATGCTGAACTAGATTAATTAAAGTATCCCTTACGTCAAAAAGGACACATCTTACACAAATAGGGATGTAAAAACTACCGGTTAACCGCGTAGTTTTAAATATTCCACGTTCTTTGAAATAACAGCCATTTCGAGCCGCATACTTTTCATAAGTGCAGCTCTGCGTTCTGCTGGATCAGAGCTGAGACAGCGGCGCCAAAACCCGCAACAGCTTCGGCACCTTTGCACACAGAGAACTGCTTTTTTAATCTTCCTGTTCTTCTGTGCTGCGAGTTAAAGCTTTTCAGCAGCAAACGACGGCTCGTTCACATGGTCAGAGCAGCAAGTGACGAGCCACGTCTCGCAGGTCTCCGCTAAAGTTTAAATACAAGTGATGTGTGTGGAGCTGATCTAATGACAAGGACCAGAAGCACAAACGTGTTCCTATGTGGTTTGACTGAAGTCGCGTATTTGGGCTACGAGACACAGAGGAGCATGACAGACCGGTATGTGTGTAAATGTATGTGTGTGTATGCTCCAATGTAGTTCTAACACGCACAAGAGTATGGATGATGCGTGTGGATGTTACGTATGAATGAAACGGGGAAAAGGTGCGCAAGTGTGAAATGGCACTTGTGTGTGCGTGCGTGCGTGCATGTATGTGTGTGTGTGCGTGCGTGAATGTGTGTGTGTGCGCGGCGCGTGCGGCATGAAAGTCGGCTCGGAGTTTAATACATTGGCGCACACAGCTAGAGACAGACCCACTCGCCACATCGTGCAAATAGAGTTTAAAACAGCGTTATTAAGAGACCTCCCCCCTCCCCCTTTTCTTTTCTTAACCGACAGCTTTGACCGGTTAACGCTGTGACGGTCAACCACCGGTTAACCGGTCACCGATTTACATCCCTATACACAAAACTTTAATTTTTAACCATGTGAGAACACGGTTTCTTCTAAAAAGTAATTTTTGGATCCTCTACACTAGTGTCAGGAACTTCTGGCAGAAACACTTTGCTCAGCCACTTTTGCAAATGCTCCCATTTTGAATTTGGAAACCTACACGGAAAGTTTTGACAATTTCTCCAGTGGGATGAGCTGCAGAAGTGTGTATTAATGGGGAAGACTGCTTCCCCCACCACCCGGCAATAGATAAAGCAGAAGAAAATGAATGGATGGCAGGAATTTCTCCACAACTTTGTTTTGGTGACCCTTCTGAAGAGAACTAGCAGCAAAAACATGTCATGGCACAGGTAAATACATCATACTAACGTCTAAAGTTGTCTGCTTAAAAGAAAACTGGATATAATAGAAATTTTCTTAGGTCTAAGGTCAAAATTTTAATTGTACAGCAAATACCTTGCATTAATTGAAGGTTAAAAAAAGTACTTTTTTTAACCTTCAATTTTTTTACAAAGCGGTGTTACTTTCTCAGTCTGAATGAAGACTAGAGTTTTTCAAAAAGATAAAACGTAACATTTGTTTTGATTAACATGATCGGTTGCCCGTGACCCCCAGTATATGGACATAAAGCCTTCTTTAGTCACAAGACAAATTCTCATTTTTCCTTTTGCTAAAACAGAATCAGTGCAAATTTAAGTTCCCCCCACCATCACCTCACTCCAATGTAATCCTTCCTCCTCACAGCCATAACCCTCAGTGGGCGGCCTTGCTTCACATTGGCTTTGGGAAATGGAATAATGAATCCGAAAGGGTGCATTGAGGAGCAAAAGCTAGCGAGGAAGAACAGAGGAACTGGGATTAATGACAAAAGGGAAATGTGCTAAATCTGACCTCCGCTGACACCGGTTCAGCTACAATGACTCCATAAGCGACTGGATTTGTTGGTGCTTTAACCTCCACTGGTGCATAAAATGATATCACTTCCAAAAGCATTTTCTTGCAGCTATTGCAAAAAAAGTACAACTTCTTCAGTACCCTGAGGTGACTGGAGCCCTCTGGTCTTCCTGTGTCCCATTTGTGCGAAATGCAAGAGTTTTATTGAGCAGACAGAGTAGACGGTAGGATCAGGAGGAAAGAAACAAGACAAAGTGCCACTTATTCGAAACGTCATTAAAAAAGGCACATGGTTCCAAAATCAGCAGAGGTAGTACAAACTTTTCACTATTCTTTCTGTGACTTTGAAGTGAAGTTTGTGCATATTTTAAGTGACTTTTCTTCTAGGCAAGTTTCACCTTGTGCCTATAACTAAGAGATCACTCTAAAGCAGTGGTCTCAATCCCAACTTGAGGATTTCAAAGAGGTCGAATATGGGTGGAGCTGGGCAATAAGTTTTCAAAATGTATGTAATGAGAGAGAAATTATATATATAAAATATATCAAAAGTATAAAGAGGGTATTTCACATCAATTATTTAATACGACTCAAATTTCAGATTTGATTAAGACACGGTGGCCAAATTTCTTAGTGCCTTCTGTGAACTTAAAACAGACAAAAAGTAGAGCCGTGAAAAAGTAAGAAACATTTTGGGAAGCCAGGTCACAGGTTGAAGCAAGTGTTTTCTTTATGGAAAGTGAAAATCTCATCATTTGCATCTGTGATTAGGGGTAGGTAGGTAGGAGTTCAGTTGGGCCCCCATCTCTAGAGCCTGAACTCTAGAGATGAGGTGATATGGTGTGTGCGGTTACCTCTGCAGACAGCTGGGAGTAGTGCGTGTTGGCGGTGGCCAGCACCAGGACGGGGCAGAACGAGGGCACGTCCTGCAGCAGAGACAGGAAAGTGCTCCTCACAGTGTCACTGACGGTTTCCCACCACTCAGAGATGTGAGGCATGAAGACCACACTGGGCACACTCCGGCGTGCCTCGCGGAAGACCTGATGCACACAGACAAAGGCAAAGTGTTATACTCTACAGCAGTTGTTTTTGAGGAAAACTAGATCTGTTCATGTGGCGATTATATACATGGAATAAAACAAATGAACATGCAATGATGAGCACTACCTTGTCCTCTCTCCTACTTTATCTGTCATCATTATGACTTCATCTGTAGTCAATTCATTGATATTCACATTGACTGCTTCATGGCGTGATGATGAGACCCCTGAACCCGGCCTCTTCCACCTGCGACCAGGTCGCTCCCCAGCCCGGGCTCATGTACTGCACCCGATCCCCGAGTCCTGGATCTACAGCCCGAGTCCTGGATCTACAGCCAGAGTCCTGGATCTACAGCCAGAGTCCTGGATCTACAGCCAGAGTCCTGGATCTACAGCCTCAGTCTTGGATCTACAGCCTCAGTCCTGGATCTACACCCCGAGTCCTGGATCTACACCCCGAGTCCTGGATCTACAGCCTGTCCATCTGTGGGTGGATCCCTCTCTCAGTATGGACATCCCTTTGGTTGCTCACATTTTTTCCCTCCACGTCCTCCTAGACGACAACTGCTGTTGTGAATTTTAGGGAAAATTGACAAGAAAAAATATAACTTTATAAAGCACCAACTTGTCGAGTATTACTCTATTAAATTATAGTAATATTCTAAAAAATGAATAAGAGGTCGATATATTTATAACTTAAGTTCCTAAAAGTTGACATAAGTTGGGCTTTAATATTACAAGGCCATTTTGAGTGTGATTGGAAAAAAAACTTAAAAACTATTGCTATTCTGTTGTGTACACGTTGTGGTTAAAAAAAACATTGTTTAGTTGATTTACAATTTACAATGAAACAACTATGAGTGGTAGGGCTAGTAAGTTCTGCCCTTTTGAACGAGAAAGTAAATGAACCCGTTTTGATGATTTGACAGCTTATTAATAATGCTGTAGATTAAAAGTACGGATGTGATTTTTATTGGAAAATGTGAAAGTGGCCCATCACCTGGGCACAGGACTCCTCGGGTGTCTTGGTGCTGACGGAGTAGAGGGTGGGCAGGTCCAGCCGGTGCACGGGCAACTTGTCCAGATGGTGGAGCAGAGCAGGGGCCAAGTGGGAGCTCTGTCCTGAATCTGAGGGCCCCGTGAGTAGTAGCCGAGGCCGGTACGATGTGGGCCGCTGGAGTGCAGAGCTGCAGGAACAACACAAATTAGGTTTGGTTCACACGCCATTTGAGGATTAAATTGAGGCTTGTCATAATGGCTATATATCATAACCATTATGACAAGCCTCGGTCAAATATAAACAACTACTTATTGGTTTCAGAAATATACGTACAAGTATTTCACAATTTAATTCAAGACAAAATTTTATCGTTGGGAAGGTGTCCAATACATTTGAATGCATGTATCATCCAAGGACATAACCCCTTTATGGATAGAATTGTTTGCAATTGCAGAATACAAGACATCCATCCATTCATCCATTTTCTTCCCCTTAATCCATTTCTGGGTCGGGGGGGTGGCAGTCAGAACTGCACCCAGTACACATAGCACCAGCCCCTCACTGATCCTCCTGCAGGTGGTGAGTCCACAGGAGCCTTGATCTTTCAGTGGGGGAAATACAAGACATACTGTATCAGTATTAATGACAAATCAGTATAATGTTTCATCTTAAAAAGTAAAAAATCTGTAATAATTAATACTGAATACAAGACATATCAATATTAATTATTATAGATTTTTTACTTTTTAAGACGAAACATTATAAATGTGAGCCAACTGTCAAATTCTTGAGTAGCAACAACCAAGCAACTAAAGAGCCAATTTAGGGACAGAAGACACATGTTCAGTCAGTTGACTACATATCCGTATTTACAAAGACATCAACAGAAAAACACTGGGATCGTGTAGCTTTTTTAAGCCCAAAACAATGAGTGCGGCATAAACGTTTTCAGCATATGGAGGAGTTTAGCGCTCCATATGAGCTTTTTCATATTCAAAAGCATTTTAAATCGAGGGATCACCAGTATCTGCTTTAACGTGAGCACCAGTAAATATTGTATTGTATGCAGTGAACTCTTTCCCATACATTAGAATGGGAAAGCATAACCTTAAATGTCAAAGGATCAGTGAGGAGCAATTTGCACAACAAGAGCTACCACTGTTTTACCAGGGTCGACTCTCATGCACTCTTCATTCAATATACATTCAAGTCTAAAATCTATTCTATCTAGTCGTGTTTTTCTAAGAGTCGACCTTGGCGTGTGTATAAACAATCCGGGCAAAGATACTCTTGAAACGCATCAAACCCGTCTGTCATCACAAACCAGAACAATCGCACTACACAGGGAGGAAGAAGTTCAATGGTATAGTTTGGGGGCGACAGCGAGGCGCCATCTTTATAATGCCAATCTTTCACCTACCCTCTACCCCAGCGCTGTGGGGCTGCTGGGAAGTATTTGTTTTATGCTGAATAAATACACCATCAATTCAACTTTTGTTTATTCTCACAGGACACAAAAATGATATGTGCACTTTAGTCCTGGATCCACACTTCAAAATGCGACTGATAATGTTGTGGTTTGTAAATTTTCATATTCTGAATTAGACCAGATAATGTTCAGTTAGAGTCCAAATGCAAATAACCACAAAACATACTTAGAAAAGTGGATAAAGGGTCTGTGCGTTGCAGAGGGCGAGAGTGGGTTGTTTGGAGCAGAGCGGAGGTCGTAAATTGAACCGGAGCCTTCTGCATCGTCTTCATCACTGAACAAGTCCTCTTCAAACGGATGATTGTCACCGCCTGGAATACATTCAATAAACAAATTCAGCCCTTGTAAAGTCTGGTGGACGGTCAGTCACATGCTTTAACCCTTAAAATACAATGCCATCGCCGGCGATAGAGGCACACATGTTTTACAAGTGATCAATTTACTCACGAACGGTAAAAGGTAGCGACTTTTTTTTCTCCGTAAAGTACACATTCCAGGCATTACGAAAATACGGTTTGTCTGTGGGACATACGGAGGATAAGCTACGTGTGTATGAAAGTCAGTCTGAGGGTCAGTGTCCAATCGGATCTTCGAGCGGTGACCCGAGAGCCAGAAAAAGTCAATTGTAAAGTTTTGTACTCACACGGGGACTCACACAAAGATCGTCAGAGTGTAGGATGACTCACTCCTCTGTGTTTACATGTTGCAGCAAAGGCAGCAGCGCTCAGAGGAGCCAGAGGGGTGCGCATTATTGATATAGACAATAAAAAATACAGTAAAATGATATTATGTGTATATAATGTATTTATATTATATTATAAATTATAAGTTTTATTTATTATTTTGTCCTAGTTTTTTTTTTTTTTTTTTTTTCGTATTTTAAAGCTGTGATACTGAAGCAACCCCAGCCTCATAGATAAACTGCTTCAGGAAGGGCATCAGGAGTACAGCGTTTTTGGCTTTTATAGTGGAATTTTGATAAAGCATAATACTCAAAAGGTTCAATTTTTTTCCCTATTATCCCAAAGACCCTAAATAACATTACTATGCAGTCTAAAAAGTTGTTTATAGCATTTTATTGTGTTTTTTCAATACATTTGTGAAATTGATTTTCCGTTTCATTTTTTTCTTTGTCTTGATGATTCCATAATTTTTATATAATTGATATGACAGCTTTACAATATGAATATTCTAAAATCCCAGGTTGTACTGAAAAATACAGAATGCTGCTTGACTCTGCATCAAAAAATGACTGTTTTATGAGCAATTATAAACAAAGAAAACCAGGCGAGGAAAGTTCCCCAAAATGACCCTAGACCTTTAATAATAGTCGTGTTTATAAATTCTTTTTTGATTCAATTTCAATGACAGAATTGTATGCATGAGACTCTCTTTATAACACAACATTTCTAAAGTGTCTAAACTTACCTCTGCTTTTGATTTGACCTAAAATCCCTGATTGACAGGCAAGGATCACAACTATTTGTTAATCCATTCAAAAACATTTTTATGTCACATTCTAGTATAGAGCCAGGTCATCAGAAATATGGATAACTTTAGGTCAAATAGGTATTGAGGAGGATTTTGCCGGAAGTTCGGACGTGTGATTAAGGCTGAGGATGGTGTTTGACAGCGAGGTAGCGATGTACACTATTTTCACACACATTAGAAATTTAATTGGTACAAACATTGACCAAACACCTTTAATGATATCGATAGCAGGCATTTTTGACATAACTACAAATAAAGTGATCATCAATCAAAATTTACGTATCAAGTATTCTTCATACAATAATGTAACAAGTGCTTATATTGCACTTGAGAGTGTCTTTCTGACTGAGCTCATACCGTGTGTGTTGTCCCTGTCAGGCTGGGCGTGGGGGAAGACTCGGAGCAGAGAGTGGAGCACCAGAGAGAAGGCGTTGGCCAGCAGGGGGCGCAGGGCATGAGACAGAGCCCGTCCTGCAGGAGCCACAGCGCGTTGAGAGGCCGGCACGATGTTTCTCATGGCTCGGCTGAAGTCTCCCGCTGCCAGCACGATGGAGGACACGTCCAGCTGCAGTTTGACGCTGCTGCCGTAAATCTGTGGATATCGGCGTCGCAGAGCCACGAGTGTGGCTTCAGTGCAAAGTGCTTTGATGTCAGCGCCACAGTAGCCTGGAAACAAGCCCAGAGGAGTGATCAAAATGTGAATATGACTTATTATTCTTATGGTTTGCTTTTACTTCTTTTAAGATAAGATATTCCTTCCTATTCGTCTCACAGTGGAGAAATTTCAGTTTCATCACAGCAGAGAAAGAAGGAAATAAGAGCACTCAGATTGCACACATCAAACAGAGTCTATTATTTAAAATAGACAATATAATTGAAATAAGATAAAAAGATGGTAACATTTCTTGTAGGGATTGTTTAAAAATCCCCCAAAAAATTATGTGAAAAACAAAACAAAAGTGAATATGACTTAAACAATTTACAAACCACACACTAAACAATTTCAGCATACAAAATACCATAATAACATAAAAATATGAGCCATTGCTCAAAAAATTGTGCTATTCTATTATGAGAAAAGCAGACACAAAGTTAAAAGCTGAAATTGTTCACATTTGGCAGATTCCATAACATTGGTCTGTCACAGTACAGGTGATTGTGTATGTATATACAAAAATTTCCAAATCAGAAAACATTCAAGTCCCGGAGGATGTTAAGAAGGGAGAGCATGATCTTACCGACACATTTTTCTGCGAGTTCATCTACAAATGGCTCAGAGAGTTTGGGATTCCAGTCCCTCGTGTGAATCTGTAAAATGTGCTTTCGTGCCTAAAGGGTAAAACAAACAAAACATCATGAGCAGGAATAGAAAGGGAGATGCTGACAGCAAACAAACACTTTGGGTGACATTTACAAATAAGTGGGAATGGGAACCAATAATGTTAATAAATGTGGACAGATCCCAACAATAACGGCACTCTCAAGCAGCAGCAGCAATGGAGAGCGCTCATATTAAGCGCCCTGCAAGGATTTCCATTCATTTCACAATCACTGCAGGACTCCACTTTGAACAGACCACAAAAGAAGTTCTCTCCTTGTATCCTCCGTCCTCTTCTGCTCATGCATTTCAGCTGCCAGTGCACTTTTTCATATCTGATGCTCACACGCAGCCTACACACGCACAAAATGTGTAACCGCCAGTTTATTAGTCAGAGTTCACAGCTGGGGATCTTGGGCGGCAGTTGTATGCTGATTAGGACTTTCATTACTCGAGTTCCTACTGGGTGGACAAACGATGCGAAGGGAATTTGAACTGCAATACAATATATTTAGCATCCATCTATCTTTATTTCTTCTAGTCGGACAATTGCAAAAGTATTCGATATTTGAATTGGATTTGACAATGCACATCAAACATAAATCAACAAACATCTTCCACAATTAAATAGGGTAAGGTCATCTGTATTATTAATTAGCACATTAGCTACATTTTATAAGGCATTGTCCAAAAGCACTGACAATATTAATGTGTAACAGATTCTATTGTCATTCAAACAGACACGTATGTATCTTTCTACTTTGACTTTGACTGGTTACATGAGAAGAGGAGAATTATCATTAATACTACAACGTTCAAATGAGACAGCTAAGTGTTAGTTGACAAGAAAATTAAATGTCAAAAACCATTCACAGCAAAGTCCAGGGGTCGACCGAAATGTTTCTTTCAGGGTCTTTGCAGTATTAGTGAAAATATTGCAGTCAACATTTTGAATAATACAAACTTCAACACTTGAATGAACCAAACCACCAAATGAATAGCTTTAACAGTATAGACTGAATGGGGTGTAACAGCAGAAATGAATTGATCTTGGTAACAGATGCTGACTTTCATGGGATTTTAACCAAATGAAGTGTCTGTACCTAAATTATCTAATTTAGTCAGACAGTTTGTTTAGGCACACAAACACACACACACAGTAAGACTACTGTGGGCTGTTGGCCAGTACATGTTTGTCTTTTTATTGGAGTTGTACAAATGTTGTTTTGACCAGTAGGAAGGACAATAAAAATACATAAATGTAAAAAATGTAAAAATAAAAATAAATAAAAAGTGCCAATACTATGTATCAATCCTGGTTTCAATACATAGTTGACCAATCAAGTCTGAGTTGAGGAAAACAAAACAAAAAACATGAAATAAAAACATGAAATAATTCATGGCTTTATGACTGACTGGTTTGTTGTCAACAAATGTTGAAGACATGTTTTGAAGGTTAAGTACTTGCTGCAGTAAGATCTTGGTTTTGCACATTGACAAATTCAAAGGAGTACAGATATTTTAAGAGCACTAAATGTTCCGTCGGGCGATGGCATTGCCAGTGCTTTGAGTGCTTCTAGTTATACCGGCAATTGGCTTTTCATCTCAACATTGAATAGAATAAAGGCCAAAGAATTGCTGCTGCTTGTATTGTAAGCCTTATAAATGTGAAAAGAGATTTCATTGAAGTATTGTGTACTGAGATTTGCTGTTGTCAAACTATTCAAGTCTCAAGTCTTCCATTTCCAAATAGTAATGATATGTGTTAGAATAAATTCTGGGGACTGTATAATGATCGTCTTTGGGTTTCAAATGACAAGCATCCAAAAAGGCATGAGAAGAATAGTAGAGGTGTGAATATAGTATATACAATATATAAATGGTGCATTGTATGTAGGATGGATAAAAATAACAAAACATATCAATAACTATATTTAACAACAACATTGGAATCCATCACAATTGTTCTAAACACGCGTCTATGTGCGTTGTTTTAAGTTCATGATAAATCATATAAATGCGGTAAGTACAATACCTAACAATAATTGCAGCAATATCCGTTAGCTCTAAGAAAATCTACAATGGCAAACTAAAGCATGGGTTAAAGTTGAAAAAATTCCTGAGCCTGAACCATCTATATCAGGGGTCGGCAACCCGCGGCTCCGGAGCCGCATGCGGCTCTTGAGTGCTCCTGGAGTGGCTCCTGGAGCCTTTTCAAACATGTCTGAAAATGGAGTGTGAGGGCTATATTTTATTTCTAGTTTGAATGTGGTTTCTGTAGAAGGAAACACAATCTTTACGTTTTTAAATGCTGTAAAAATGTGTATAAGTAATATTTAATTTCAACATTTCTGTCAACGTAGTGAGTCATATCCTATGACGCGCGGTCACGCGGCCCCGCCCCATGCGGCCGCTGCTGTAAACAAACCGGCGTGTGTGCATAAGTGAACATGGATCCCAAAGCTAAAACGAGAAAGAGTCGATAACAAGACTGGACTAAGAATGAGAATGAACATTTTATTTCAGTCAATGAGGAAGGACTGCTTCATGTTTGTAATGAGAAGTTTTGTTGCAACACGAGGAACAATGACGCGAAAAACACCGTACACAGTGATTACGTGAAGGATTCATTCATCAAAAATTCAGAGCACCTATTTTCAGACTTCAAAACCTTCTCAAAGACGGTGAAAGAAAAGGCCATTAAGGATTTTAATTCAGCTCCAGCAAACTTCAGCCTGTGACGTGTTGGATATGAGCAGACAGTGATGCAGGTATGTGACCTCTGAGCCCAAAGCAGATTGATTTACTGTATTTCTACAATTGCATGAAGGCAAAAAAATGGAAGTTAAACTAAAGCAGAGTCGTCACGTGTTGCGTCATTCACGACACGCGTGGTGCGACACGCTGCAGTGAAAATACACATTTGATAATCATGAATGATTATTATGTATTTGTAGCCTTTACTTTGTCATTTAGATATTAGGCTAATATAGCTAATACATCTTGCAGCCTGTGTTAACTTCATAAAAGCCTTATACAAGGCTGTTATTTTTTTGCGGCTCCAGACAGATGTTGTTTTTAGTTTTTTTGTCAATTATGGCTCTTTGAACATTTTGGGTTCCCGACCCCTGATCTACATGAATCATAGAATGATCACTAATAAACGTTTTTAATAAGCGGCCAGGGGTTAAAGCAAAAAAAAAAGATTTGACTGAAAATTTTCTCATGGAAATATAATGAATTACAGATCAAACGAATTCTTCAAAGATATACATTTAAACTGGTGTATTTTGATGTGAAATTACAACCAGTGGATCAAGCAACTTGTCAACTCTTTGACAGAATATTAGTGAGAGTAGTTCATCTGCATCATTGGCTTTACTTGAGGCGAGATGAGGCGTTGTCCTTTGGCTCTGTCCTCGTCAAAATATCGCAAAAGGACATTCAAAATTCTGTCCACATTTGTTTGTGGACACTCAATGTTTAAGAAAAAGGTTTCCCTATCAACTTGGTGCTAGTGCACAGCGCAGTTTTATCAACTGCAAATGATTAATGATAATTAAATCTACCAGCGGTAGTGATGGTTCTGAACGACAGGTTATTTTCTGCGATAAAGCCACAGACTCTTAGTTTTAGGTCACAGACACAGTCCACCAGAGCAAGCCTAGTCTCAGTTGTCGCTGAATCTGATGCACCAGGTAAAGAAGTGTGGGAAAGTGCACGGACAGCTGCCAAGTGCGCAGTTTTGAGCTGGTGGTGAATCCAAAGCTGTTTTCTCATTACTCCCATATAAAAAAATAATAATAGCGAAGTACGAACAAGCACCGGACACCTTCATCTTTTTGCACCAGGAAGCAACAGAATCCCATCGTCTCCACCTCATCCAGCCATGCCCACCTCCATTTATTTTTCCACTGTTATCAACAGCAACTTATACTGCTCCTTCTTCCATAAACAACGATCCATGATTGTGATTGTGCGTGCATGCTAGGCTAGCTTTGATGAATGAATATAAGACCTGCTAACACACACCTTTCTTCAGCGAGTTTCTTCCGTTCGCTCTCGTTGATTGGCTCTTTTTATCACGCAGTTTTGCATGGGGATCGCCACCAAGATATTATCAAAAGCTCACCAAGACATGCTTGTCCCCATTCCCAGTCACAGCAAAGTACATATTGTACATTCCGTTAAATAAAAAAGCATTGCGTTTGGTAAACGTTAATTATGTCCTACCTTTCCTCTGATAACGCGCCTAGCTTACCGGTCCGCGGGCTGCTGGCTGTTATTGCTCCGTTCGGGATTACATTTTCCTTGTCCTCTTCTCCTTTTCAAAAGCTCCGTGCACTTTTCAGAAACTTTCACCTCCGTGTTACCATCGCTAACTTGGCTACGTCCCATTGCCTTGAATCATTTACGGAGCGCTCATGTAGCTAGCCACGGCACGTTCAAGGCCCACTCGTGATTATATTACTTTTTATTTCTATATACATATAAATACAATTATATTCAAATTATTAATATATATCTAGATATATACAACAGCTTCACACGTATTACTATATATTTTGTTATAATTAACCATTTCATTGTGTGTATTATTATTATTATATATTTTGTTTTTTTTTCAGACCAATTTCATTTGACGGAAATCCGTCACTTAGACGGAACTCTTTAATCCCTGCGCTATACACATGCAATCCTTTCATACAATTGGTAGAACACACTTGAACCTTTTTCAAATGACAGCAATCATTATTTATTTATATATATATTAAAAAAAAAAAAAAAAAAAAAGTGATGTTTTTTTTTTTTTTTTTCTCACGCCGGATTTCCGGCACGGTGCCGGAAAACTTTAAGCCCTGCTAAAGTCAGAAAAACCACCGAGATTTGTTTTCAGTATATTTTTATATTCCTACTGTTCTGTCATGTCACTATGACACTCTCTGCACTGTGGTATGAATAAAGGGCATCTTTACAATCCTAAAAAACATAATATCCAGACTACTTTCTACTATTATCAACCTCCTCAGCGTTCCATGAGGTGAGCTGAAATACATGACTATTCTCTTTGATGATCATATTCCATTACATTGTGATAATCATAATGTAAATGTCTCAATTGTGATATCAATAAAGTTTATCTTATCGTATGTAATTGACATTATGGAGTTGCATTTGAAGAGTATCTTGACAAGCCAAGATGCAGATTGTGAAGTTACCTTTTTGTCGGGCAGGTTAAAGAGGAACTCGCGATCGAAGCGTCCGGGCCTCCTGAGCGCTGGGTCGATAGAGTCAAGTCTGTTTGTAGCACCGATGACCACTATCTCCCCCCGGCTGTCCAGGCCATCCATCAAAGCCAGGAGCGTGGACACTATAGAGCTGCACAGGAGGACAGATAATTACAAGGAATCTCAGAACAAGACATTTTTTTTCATAACAAAATAATAATCCGTTAAACAGTAAAACCTTTTGAAATTGGGTTTTCCACTCCATGAAGTGTACTGCTAGGCAGAACTTTGGTTCACTAATGAATCATCTACACTATGCATAAATAGTTAACATTCTACACCAGGGGTTGTCTACCTTTATCAACAAAAGAACCCATTTGCAGTCTTGTCTACCAGAGAGTGTGTTGGATGTAGGAATCTTTAGCATTTTTATTTTACAAGTAACAACCTTGTGTAACATTACATTTTAGCACAACTTTAGTTCATTACAGATTGTGGTTTCCTCTCAGCCATGTATGACATGCTCCATATGGATATATAAGGCAAATAATCAAACGATTATCTTAGACTCAAAACTCTCAGACCAGATAAAAATCTAGAATGTTGACACTTTAATGTCAAAAACTTGGTCCAGATGACTATTGAAACTTGTAAGCTTTATGTAAAAAAGAATAAATTTTAGTTATTTCATACTTGGGGGGAAATATCCATTTTAGTTTTTTATGGATTTGTTTATGTTAAATAGCTCCTCTAGGCTTTAAACATTCATCTGCCCAAACATTCATCCATGTGAATACCAATTATGTGCCTAATGAACAAGTTGATATATCAGAGAACATTTCTCATAACTACACACAAACACCTGAACAAAAGGCAATTTGAAATACAAAATAATTGACTTTACAATTGGGATGAACTGATTTGGTTGCATACATAAAACTAATGAGAAATACAATAAAACGTTCTGTTTCTACAAATGAAATTATAATTGTAACCTTAAGCTTTAAATGAATAATGTATTTTTCTTGATGAGTTCCAAAAGGATACGCACAAGTAGCTGATGAATACATAAATATCAATGTACTGTATATGCAAAGCAATCGTACAATGCTACATGCTGCTGAGGCCATTTCAGAAGTAAGTGTAGCAGCACCCCCCAGTGGTCAAATAACGCAACCACTGTTACGTTCAATTTAGTGGCTGTTCAACTTTTACGTGCAGTCATTTTGTAGCTCACCTGCTTAACCTGCCATCCCTCACTTTTAGTAGAATAATTGCAGCAATAAACTAAATTCACAAATATATTTCTTACCTGTGAATCTGGTCTTGTCGGCTTGAACGCACCGGAGCCAAACCATCAATTTCGTCAAAAAATATAATAGATGGCCGCATCAGATAAGCCTGTTAAAATAAAGACACAATAATTAATTCTCTTTAACTAAATTCAGGACCCATTTTTGTACTTAAGAAAAGTTGCTTTGAAACAATGACTTTGTCATTTTGTGCTTGTCGGTGTCATGATGTTTCTGGCCTGTTTTGAGCGTTTCAAGTGGTTTGCTGCATGAAATTCACTTTTACAACAGAATCAGTTCAAATACATAGAATCACAGTTGGTTGATGCCAGTATGCAATTCATGATGTTTCTGGCCTGTTTTGAGCGTTTCAAGTGGTTTGCTGCATGAAATTCACTTTTACAACAGAATCAGTTCAAATACATAGAATCACAGTTGGTTGATGCCAGTATGCAATTCATGATGTTTCTGGCCTGTTTTGAGCGTTTCAAGTGGTTTGCTGCATGAAATTCACTTTTACAACAGAATCAGTTCAAATACATAGAATCACAGTTGGTTGATGCCAGTATGCAATTCATGATGTTTCTGGCCTGTTTTGAGCGTTTCAAGTGGTTTGCTGCATGAAATTTCAACTTTTACAACATAATCAGTTTCAAATTACATAGAATCACAGTTTGGATGATGCCCAGATGCAAATTCATGATGATTCTGGCTGGTTGAGCGTTTTCAAGTGGTTTGCTGCCTTGGAAATGCCATTCAAGGTTATGGGAAATACCAGAATATACAAAGGTGTTCTTTTATATTATCAACCGCCATTCTATCAAGAGGAGCAAGAGCGGGTTTCTGGGAGAGTAACAAATACAAAGAAAAATAGGGACAGGTTGATACTGATGGATTCTTGTCACACCGATATCCCATTTTTGTCCTGTTTGTTATTTGTTGACAATATGATCGCAAATTCAACATGGTTTTCAAAATGATATCATGTAAATTTACCCTTAAACTTGTACATTTTCTAGTTTTTATTAATCCAATGAGGAGGCTTTAGAGTCAAGAGTTCAAGCGAGCCATCTTTATTCTCCTGAGATTTCTGATTGGGTCCAGTTTTGCACGACCACCGCAACACGCCCATATTCTATAAATGTTTTTCTTAAATTCTGTATTTATTTATTGATTTTTTACGTATTTGTCTCTGTTATACACTGCTGTATTTGGCAACATCACAAATGATCTATGGCTGATGAGGCATTGGCTCTAATTAAAGCCAATATGTCGAGCTTATAAATGTAAATCAATACGGCTATTTCAGACAGATAGATACAGACACTGACAGACTTGATTTTTTCATTTGCTCAATGTTCAGATCCATGGATCTGTTTCATTTTCTTTCAAAATAAGCAATCATGCAGAAACTTATTTTTGCCTATTAGATGTAGAAAAGATACACATGTTGCTTTTATAGTAACAGTGGAAGTAAAGGTTTTGGGGACAAGAAGCATCCTTCAGATAAGGTATACTTTAGGTCTTCTGTCTGTGACCCATCCTTCAATGCCACTAGGGCCTATATCAGGAGCAGTGGTCACAGCAGTGCAATGTCCAGGGATGTCAATCTGGACTACCAAAGCTGAAGGTTTTCAACTATGGTGCATGTTTTGGGTGCTGGAGGAAACCGGAGCGCCAGGAGGAAGCCCACCCACACATTGGCAAACATGCAAACTCCACACAGAATGGCTCTGGCTGGCACAGGACTAGAACCTACAACCTATTTACTGTGAAGCAAGGGTCACCAACACTTTGCCCACTTCAATGTAGCAGCCCTTGAGCCATTAGGTAATCTTAAGGTAGCCCTCGGCTTTACAAAATGTGTGTAACCCCCGCTGTGAAGCATGAGTGCCGTACCCACTCCAGCTGTTAGTTTGAGCAGGAAATGTACACCGTTTTCCCTCTCACTCTGTACACGGCTCCCTTCCTCCCATTCTCACCCCTCCTCTCCCCCACACGCCTTCATTTGTCTGCCGTTCCCTCCGGTCTGAGCAGCGCTGACTGGATGGATGGAGCACAGAGAGGGGAAAAAGTGTGTATGCGCGGAGGAGGAGGTCGATAGGCTATTATCATTAGCATACATTAGGCAAACTGTATGGAAATGACCTGAGCCAATCCTGCACTTCAGCGATGGGTGGATGAAAGAAAGAAAAACATTAGTGATTGATTAAATTAATGTGAGAGCAAAGCCTGATGGAAGAAAAAGGACTGGCGATATGTGCCTGAAAAACTCATCATGTCATTCAAATCATTTCTGGTCACGACAACATCTATGGAAGTGCGCAGTGTTATACGTCAGACAGGGTTTAGATTAGATGTCCAAAATGATACCGTTTTTGTGCAAATATAGGAATAATACCATACTGTATTTAAAAAAAATCTAATCTGAAGTACTTTTTTCTGCTTAACCATTATTGTTTTGTTATTGTTGAGAATAACTGATTTCATGAATGTGTCAATAAAGTGTGAAAATCTTTTTTTTAAAGTTTCTACTCTGGGAAAATGAATTCTATTGGAAACCAGTTGTTTGTTGTGTTGTGTTTTTGTCTGTTGTAAATAAAAGGGTGGATTATCCTATGTTATTGAACATTAAAAATCATAATATGGTTTATGCTTTCCTATTGCTTTTTTGGTACATGCCCCTTCATCATCAACATCAGAGGCCTCACAAACAAACTGCAGATAAAAAACTGGTTCAAAAATCTGTGAAGAGATGCTGATTCCATGCCAAATCAAGTCACAAAGTGGGGGTGAAAATTGTCACAGCAATGCCTTCTTGAATGCAGGCGAATAAGGATATCAAAAACATGCACGAATGACTCTAAAACAAGTGGTAAATGCAAAGTCTGTTACGTTTTGGAATTAGACGAGAAGTGTTAGTAGAACAGATGCTTTTACAACAGCTGCTCTGGGGAAAAAAGAATCTTTCTCAACTACATGGAAAAATAGTCTCTTTTCAATCTCATTTTCAACCATGACCAGCCTGAAAAATAGCCATCTCAGACCTCGTCAAAAATGTCACACACAAAAATGAAAGTAACACACAATTTTCTAGGCCTAGACACGCATTTTGTTGTCACAAATGCAAAGTCAGGCTTCTGTGTGTGACAGGCGGTGACTGTGGCGGTGGCAGCGGGGTGGAGGGTTTGGGCAATGGAGAGACGTTGACCACCTCCGCCTTTTTCCTGACCCCTGTGACTCCATCTCTCCGGTCTGATTTTGTGGCTAAGTGGCTGCGTCCGACATCAGCAGAGTGATGGGGTCGTGACGGGGCTGTCTGAGCTGTCTCTGCTCTAAGATTCATGACCTATCAGAGGCTCCGATGGGGCCATGGGTTAAAGTTGAAAAAATTCCTGAGCCTGAACCATCTATATGAATCATAGAATGATCACTAATAAGCGTTTTTTATAAGCGCCTTTATACGCTCATACATATAATTTATATCTATTTAATGCCAACAACTGATGTTTATTATAAACATCAGTTGTTGGCAATAAATACATCATCCAGGGGTTAAAGCAAAAAAAAAAGATTTGACTGAAAATTTTCTCATGGAAATATAATGAATTACAGATCAAACGAATTCTTCAAAGATATACATTTAAACTGGTGTATTTTGATGTGAAATTACAACCAGTGGATCAAGCAACTTGTCAACTCTTTGACAGAATATTAGTGAGAGTAGTTCATCTGCATCATTGGCTTTACTTGAGGCGAGATGAGGCGTTGTCCTTTGGCTCTGTCCTCGTCAAAATATCGCAAAAGGACATTCAAAATTCTGTCCACATTTGTTTGTGGACACTCAATGTTTAAGAAAAAGGTTTCCCTATCAACTTGGTGCTAGTGCACAGCGCAGTTTTATCAACTGCAAATGATTAATGATAATTAAATCTACCAGCGGTAGTGATGGTTCTGAACGACAGGTTATTTTCTGCGATAAAGCCACAGATCTGTTTTAGGTCACAGACACAGTCCACCAGAGCAAGCCTAGTCTCAGTTGTCGCTGAATCTGATGCACCAGGTAAAGAAGTGTGGGAAAGTGCACGGACAGCTGCCAAGTGCGCAGTTTTGAGCTGGTGGTGAATCCAAAGCTGTTTTCTCATTACTCCCATATAAAAAAATAATAATAGCGAAGTACGAACAAGCACCGGACACCTTCATCTTTTTGCACCAGGAAGCAACAGAATCCCATCGTCTCCACCTCATCCAGCCATGCCCACCTCCATTTATTTTTCACTGTTATCAACAGCAACTTATACTGCTCCTTCTTCCATAAACAACGATCCATGATTGTGATTGTGCGTGCATGCTAGGCTAGCTTTGATGAATGAATATAAGACCTGCTAACACACACCTTTCTTCTGCGAGTTTCTTCCGTTCGCTCTCGTTGATTGGCTCTTTTTATCACGCATTTTTGCATGGGGATCGCCACCAAGATATTATCAAAAGCTCACCAAGACATGCTTGTCCCCATTCCCAGTCACAGCAAAGTACATATTGTACATTCCGTTAAATAAAAAAGCATTGCGTTTGGTAAACGTTAATTATGTCCTACCTTTCCTCTGATAACGCGCCTAGCTTACCGGTCCGCGGGCTGCTGGCTGTTATTGCTCCGTTCGGGATTACATTTTCCTTGTCCTCTTCTCCTTTTCAAAAGCTCCGTGCACTTTTCAGAAACTTTCACCTCCGTGTTACCATCGCTAACTTGGCTACGTCCCATTGCCTTGAATCATTTACGGAGCGCTCATGTAGCTAGCCACGGCACGTTCAAGGCCCACTCGTGATTATATTACTTTTTATTTCTATATACATATAAATACAATTATATTCAAATTATTAATATATATCTAGATATATACAACAGCTTCACACGTATTACTATATATTTTGTTATAATTAACCATTTCATTGTGTGTATTATTATTATTATATATTTTGTTTTTTTTTCAGACCAATTTCATTTGACGGAAATCCGTCACTTAGACGGAACTCTTTAATCCCTGCGCTATACACATGCAATCCTTTCATACAATTGGTAGAACACACTTGAACCTTTTTCAAATGACAGCAATCATTATTTATTTATATATATATTAAAAAAAAAAAAAAAAAAAAAGTGATGTTTTTTTTTTTTTTTTTCTCACGCCGGATTTCCGGCACGGTGCCGGAAAACTTTAAGCCCTGCTAAAGTCAGAAAAACCACCGAGATTTGTTTTCAGTATATTTTTATATTCCTACTGTTCTGTCATGTCACTATGACACTCTCTGCACTGTGGTATGAATAAAGGGCATCTTTACAATCCTAAAAAACATAATATCCAGACTACTTTCTACTATTATCAACCTCCTCAGCGTTCCATGAGGTGAGCTGAAATACATGACTATTCTCTTTGATGATCATATTCCATTACATTGTGATAATCATAATGTAAATGTCTCAATTGTGATATCAATAAAGTTTATCTTATCGTATGTAATTGACATTATGGAGTTGCATTTGAAGAGTATCTTGACAAGCCAAGATGCAGATTGTGAAGTTACCTTTTTGTCGGGCAGGTTAAAGAGGAACTCGCGATCGAAGCGTCCGGGCCTCCTGAGCGCTGGGTCGATAGAGTCAAGTCTGTTTGTAGCACCGATGACCACTATCTCCCCCCGGCTGTCCAGGCCATCCATCAAAGCCAGGAGCGTGGACACTATAGAGCTGCACAGGAGGACAGATAATTACAAGGAATCTCAGAACAAGACATTTTTTTTCATAACAAAATAATAATCCGTTAAACAGTAAAACCTTTTGAAATTGGGTTTTCCACTCCATGAAGTGTACTGCTAGGCAGAACTTTGGTTCACTAATGAATCATCTACACTATGCATAAATAGTTAACATTCTACACCAGGGGTTGTCTACCTTTATCAACAAAAGAACCCATTTGCAGTCTTGTCTACCAGAGAGTGTGTTGGATGTAGGAATCTTTAGCATTTTTATTTTACAAGTAACAACCTTGTGTAACATTACATTTTAGCACAACTTTAGTTCATTACAGATTGTGGTTTCCTCTCAGCCATGTATGACATGCTCCATATGGATATATAAGGCAAATAATCAAACGATTATCTTAGACTCAAAACTCTCAGACCAGATAAAAATCTAGAATGTTGACACTTTAATGTCAAAAACTTGGTCCAGATGACTATTGAAACTTGTAAGCTTTATGTAAAAAAGAATAAATTTTAGTTATTTCATACTTGGGGGGAAATATCCATTTTAGTTTTTTATGGATTTGTTTATGTTAAATAGCTCCTCTAGGCTTTAAACATTCATCTGCCCAAACATTCATCCATGTGAATACCAATTATGTGCCTAATGAACAAGTTGATATATCAGAGAACATTTCTCATAACTACACACAAACACCTGAACAAAAGGCAATTTGAAATACAAAATAATTGACTTTACAATTGGGATGAACTGATTTGGTTGCATACATAAAACTAATGAGAAATACAATAAAACGTTCTGTTTCTACAAATGAAATTATAATTGTAACCTTAAGCTTTAAATGAATAATGTATTTTTCTTGATGAGTTCCAAAAGGATACGCACAAGTAGCTGATGAATACATAAATATCAATGTACTGTATATGCAAAGCAATCGTACAATGCTACATGCTGCTGAGGCCATTTCAGAAGTAAGTGTAGCAGCACCCCCCAGTGGTCAAATAACGCAACCACTGTTACGTTCAATTTAGTGGCTGTTCAACTTTTACGTGCAGTCATTTTGTAGCTCACCTGCTTAACCTGCCATCCCTCACTTTTAGTAGAATAATTGCAGCAATAAACTAAATTCACAAATATATTTCTTACCTGTGAATCTGGTCTTGTCGGCTTGAACGCACCGGAGCCAAACCATCAATTTCGTCAAAAAATATAATAGATGGCCGCATCAGATAAGCCTGTTAAAATAAAGACACAATAATTAATTCTCTTTAACTAAATTCAGGACCCATTTTTGTACTTAAGAAAAGTTGCTTTGAAACAATGACTTTGTCATTTTGTGCTTGTCGGTGTCACACAAAATGACAAAAAGTGAATCCACAACAAACATTAATGGGGTATTTAGATTGTTTGTAACTGATGCAGACATCATTTTTTTAGATACTGCTCTGAAAATCAAAGTTATATCAAAAGATTATTCAACACACTGAGCCAAGGCTAACACCATCCATTAGCCAATGAATGGTTTATAAACAATCAAAATATTGATAATATTGTAAAAAGTTGGTGGCTGAGTGGAAGCAGTAACTTCCAATCAATGAAATCTTGACCGATTACAGATTATCTCCATATTAGTATTGTACTCAGTACTCTATTTTATTTTAGAGCTCTTAAAACACATAATCCTATAATTTTTCACAATGTCACTTGTTGGAATTGGAATTATTTTTGCAGCACAACTTCCTATTGATAATGATAGGTTTTGCTATTATCGTTTAGATTAGTATAGTCTCATGATGATCATGTGGAGGGCAGGGGGGAAACATAAGTAACTGTTTTTGTCAAAAAATATCAAACACAAATGAACATTTAAAAAGAGGAAATGTGGCACATTTCACTGTTTACCATAGAGCAGAACACGCTCACCTGATCAAACAGTAACCGTAGTTGGCGCTCAGACTCGCCAACCCACTTGCTGAGACAGTCTGCTCCTTTCCTCATGAAAAAAGAAACCTTCCTGTCGCCCTGGCTGCACTCATTGGCAAGTGCTCGAGCTACCAGGGTTTTTCCTGTGCCTGGAGGGCCGTAGAACAAGCAGCCTCTGAAAAGAGAAGAGCATATGTCTCAGTCCTCAGATGCATTCAGTGCTTTCTATTTGCACAGTGCATGCTACTCCCTCTGACAAATTCCAACTCATTATCTATTTTAAGTCTAAATCCTCACTTCACCATTCCCACAAACACACATTGCCAAACTAATACATCAAATGATGGCTGCAATGACATTAAATATGTGATATCATATTTAATATAATAAAATATGTTTCGAGTAAGAAGGATCTCATATACACATTTGACATGTACATTTTCAATTTGACCCTCTCAAACCACTATCCAAGCTGCCTAATGCCAGACTCACCTTGGCGGCTGAATTTTGAACTTCTCAAAGACTTCTGGGTAAAGCAGTGGGAACACCACCATCTCCTTTAGTGACTGAATGTGGTCTCTGAGACCACCCACACTGTCAAACTTCACCTGATAACAAAGAAATGCATTAATCAAACACTGAATAAGATGATAGAATAGAGATGTTGATCCAAATTGGCCATTGAATAGCCAAGGTCATTACCTTGTTATCAAGGTTCATGGGGTCTACATCCGCCAAACTGGCCCCAACCTTTGCTCGATCTCGGAGGACCCCACAAGCCAAATCTCCTGCAGTCAAGTTCATAGGCAAACACCTACGGGACAGGTTGTTCAAATAATTAACTCAAAGTGCATGAGACAGATTAGTCTACCAGGTTGAGCAAAATATTGGTTTACTTACTGGTAAAAAAAAAAAAGTGACTCTAAATATCAAAATGCCAAATACCTTATAATAGTCTCAACTATGGATGTCTGGTAACGCAGACAAATATGTTTCAGGCAACATTGGGAAAAACTGAAACTCAAAGTTGCATATGAACTGTACGTTTAGTGTCCAGCATGTGTATGAATTAATAACACGGTTTCAATGATGTTAGTTTTTCACAAACTGTGTCCTTTAGTGGCGGATTCTAACTGACCCATAAAAAAAAGCTTACAGCTGATGAAATGAACATCAGCAGCCTTTAGAAAGCAGTTGTTTTGTTTGCAGAAATTTGAAGGAACCACAGTTCGTGTGTGAATGCAGTGGTTGAATATTGTTCCATTCCCAGACACCAGAGTCAAAATAAACAGGTTAAAGAGGTGAGAAAATGGCAATGGTCACCTGTTCCTGGCTCGAGTCATGCTCTTGCTCTTCCTCCTCTCGAAGCGCTCCTCGTCAGATGAGGACGTGGTGTCACTACTGTGAATGGCGTGTTTCTTCACCCTGACAAAGGTGTGAGAACCAGAATAAGAGGGACGGCAGCACAACCACATGAGCCTTAAAGGAATAACCCGCTTCAGGAAATACTGCGTTTTCAGTCCAAAGTAATAGTAATCTTTTTTTATATACCGCCTTTTCACTGCACATCGGAGTCTCAAAGTGGTTTACAATTGTTATTTTTGGGAGTGGGGGTGCCAGTACAGGAGGCACATGCCAGACCTATTGTACATATTTTTAGTGGTAGGGGAAACCGGAGCACCCAGAGGAAACCTACACAGACACGGGGAGAACATGCAAACTCCACTCAGAAAGGCCCTGGTCCAACCGGCATTCGAACCCAGGACCTCTTGCTGAGAGGCGAGAGTGCTATCCACTCAGCCACCGTGCCGTAATGTTGGGATGATACAAACATTAAGAGGGGCGCATTGTACGAGGTTATGGCAGAGGTAGTTCCAGGGCGTCTGACGTTAGAGTCAAATCAAAGAAGAATTTTAATGGAAAATGTATTTTAGACATCTTTTATATTTATTATAGTATATGATAATATTTCACAAGCATACTTAACTTTCTTTTACTAACCCAATCGGATACATGAGTATTATTGGTATATTGAAAAAACATTAGCTTAAAAATATTGTTCTGTCATACTTTGCGGGACGAGCTGAATGATTGCCAGATCTACTACACAATGGATGGAAGTGATACAATTTGTGCAGAAGTGCTAGGCGCCGCTGCTAATTGGGCTCATTTATGGTGTACTTGGGGGAGGTAGAGGGTGGACTGGGTTTTACATCTGGATCACGGCAAACATCATCACACAGTCGACGGCACTTAACTGACCTTATATGGCTTATTCTTGCTGGAGATCGGTGAGTATCAAAAAGTGAAGGATTGCTTTGTTTGCGGTTGGCTGGCACTAGAGAAACAACAAAAACAAAAGTGAATTACTCATCCTGCCATTTGTGATAACACCAACATGGTTATAGTTTAAACAGTGCATAAAAACTCCCAAACAGGCTTAAATTAATCAATATATCAATACAAAAAAGACTCAAATGAACTACTGTATAAACTATGCCATTTAAATCTGGTCAGTGGAATTGTCGGTGATGAATACATACCGATGGGTGGTGCCTGGTATCTCTGCACAGTTTTGCGCTGTCTCAAATTGTACGGACGGTCGTTCTCTTCTCCGGGTTCCTCGACATCATCTCCTTCATCGTCTTCATCGTCATCCTCTGCGTCTCCCTCCACTTCCTCATGGGACTCTGAAAGATAGAAGTGTCGGGTTTATTTAGGAAACCCTGATTCAAGTCTATGACCATATAGCAGTTTCCAAATTATTCAGACAAAAACATATGTCCCAGAACACACAAAAAACTCCTGTCTGTTATATCGTGACAATCTATGACACAAGTGGCTCATTATTAATTATTATATGCATATGTAATCTCAATATTGATTGAAAACAATATCAAGAGGGAAAAGAGGTTTCAAATAAGGCCGCACATCCCTGTAGTCTGGACTAGCACGTTGGATTAAAGAAGTGAAAAACGTGAAAACAGTGAAAAAAATCCGAACAGCTGTGTTACTCTCAATAAGTGTCTTTTATTTACAGACCAAGTCGTGACGTTTCAGGCTGAGGCCCTTCATCAGACATCAGGCATCTCAGCCCGAAACATAGCTGTGCAAATTCTTTTCACTGTTTTCATGAAGGGAATGAGACACAATCTATTCAGTCCTCCAACAAAAAAGGCATGTGCATCCAGTTATCACAGATTCAGATAAGAAAATATGAAAACGACGTAAGTAATAAGTGGGCACGTCTCAGTGGAGTGAAGGCTGTCAGAGGAGCCAAGAGGAAACGATGGCGTCTTGAGCGTAAGAGAAAGAGAAAAAAAAAAAAAAAAAAGTCTAAATAACATGGTCAAAAGCTGATAAAAAGTTGATTTTGCCTGTCCCCTTTAAACTAAATGTAACATCCCAATTAGCTCATGATAATTGCCAATGTGAGCAAAGATCATTGAAAATAGTTAGTGGTCCCTCACCTTCAGATCCATCGTCGTCATCATCCTCCCCTTCTTGGTTTGCTTTGCTCATGGATTTGTGGTGGGCTGGCACGTACGTACTCCGGCGCATCGACTTCCTGCGTTTCACCCGCGAATACATGTCCATGTTCTCCTGAGAGTGAAGTACAAGCTCGGTTTAATATTGCTTTTGTTAGGTCCACAGTATTGCTAAGAACCTGTATGATATTGTAGTGACATTCTGGGGAGAAAAATAGAACCGCTTGGATCATCATTTGGATAGATGATTTTGAATTGAAAATTGGTCTGAAATCTTGAATACAATCTTTCAGAGTAAGCTCTTGACCCTGGATTCTGTACAATAGAAGATCAAATGGGTGGTTACAGGTTTTGTTCCCGTTCAAAGATGACACCTAATCGGGCAGCTCCATTTTAGCCACATGTCCAATTGACATTCTGACAAATACCAGAATATTTTGTTTTCTTTAAAAACATGAAAAAGTAGTTTATCTTGGTTTGAATATATATGAACTGTATTGACTTACGATTTGCCAAAGAAAAACTATTTCTCCAATCGAAATGAGATAAAAATACAAAATCTTATGTTATGATATAATGCCAGTGGGTACTCAGGTCAAGATGAATACAGCATCCTACAGACACATAACGGCTTCTATTTTATCTAAACAAATTGCACAGGGATTTCTAAATCACTACTTGCAAAGTTATGATTTTAATTCGATGCCGATCAATCTCACAGCCCTACCTCTTAAACAGCTGAGGTTTGATAAAGTTTAATTCAAGGAGTGAAGCAAAGTGATTTAAAGTCACCTCCTCAGTGTCGCCATTCCACATGCGAAGTTGTTCCACCTCACGACTTTGCCTGATGTTGCTGATGTTGTCCATTTCCTGGAGGACAGCTTCTGCAGTGCTAAAAATATAAATGCAGACATTAGTGGGATTGCACCGGTGTAGATGGAAAATTGTTTCACAAAACCATAAATATTTTTATCCAACATGCTTTGCTATTATACTAGTCGTTTTTAGGCTAAATAGTTACACACTGGGGACATGTTCAATAAAAACAAACCAAGTGTAAAATGTATGCATGTCATTGTATTCCTCCAGCATTCACTCGACTTGACTGAAAAATCCTTCAAACAAGATTAAACTTTCTGCCACATCGCCCATCTAATAATTTGTTAAGTAAAAAATATTTGATGATCTTGATATACTGTAATAGGATTTGTCAAACAAGTTTGAAAGGAAAGAATATGGTTAAAAGCTCTAAAAAGTCAATTTGGCCTTGGTCAAACCTCTGCTGCGCATGATAGAGCATGATATTCAGGGACATACATAAGCCCCGTCCCAATTCTCACCCTAGCCCTAAATTAGTTTCCTTGCCTTTGATTTTGCGCGTTCCCGGGGGGGATGTAGGGTGTCCCAATAATTAGGGAGTAACGATGAGTGCTCTCACACCCTTAAAAAGCCCCTTGCGCGCAAGTGAGCTCTGGATCACACTTGCAAGGGTGATCCCATGATGCATTAGGATAGGTAGCTGTTGGGCAAAGCCGCGCCACAATGAAAGAAAACAACACATAACACCCAGGCGCAAGTTTGTGCTGAAAGTGTGGAAGCTTCGAAGTGAGCACAAGTAATTTAGAGGGTTTTTCGCTTGCGAAGCGGCCGCAGCGTGTGACGTTCACTGAGGCTTTAGAGACATGGTGCATGTTATTCTTATCGATCCATGATGTAGTTGAGAGCATCGCTTTGACAGGTTGCTTTGTGGTCCGCGGCTGTCCCCGTCCGTCTGTGTGTGTACGTGTGTGTTTGTCTCTGTGAGTATGTTGCGTGCGTCCTGTAACCTAATTATTGCTAATCTTCTTCATATGAAATACAATTAAAAATGTATACTCTATCACTTTAAAAAATACTTTGTTTCATAAAGTCTTATGTGTGATGAAATCCGACACATAAATGTTGTGTGTATCGAGGAACACGTTTGTTAACATAGGGGTGTCCCCTAGATCCATTGGTGTCACATTTCTTAGAGAGAATATCGACGAGTGCACTCCCCTATTGGAGGGCACTTTTCTGTTCACTCATAAGTCAAGCCCCCTTTGGTTCCAAAAGAAAGAGTCTTGCTGCATGGCTGAGTGAGGAAAGTCTTATCTTTTCACTTTTCCGTCTGAAAAAGCTTCTCTAACCATGTGACAGATGCCAAAAAAATGCATTTGAAGACGAGCGATGAAACAAGGTAAAAGATCTACCAAATTCATCTGATCTTAATTTTTGTGGTTTAAAAGATAGGCACCTCAGATGTACCGCAGAGCTCCAAAATGTCACGCTCCTTCTGTCAAAGCTCAGCCTTTTGAATTTGACTCAGTCACAGGTAATGCCTATTGAATGCTTGAAAGTTCTCTGAGACATGGCCAAACTGTCCCCTCAGCGTTGGCCCAGTTACCTGTTGACCAGCTGGTCGAACAGAAGGCTCTGGTTGAGATGTTCGAACTGGCTCTTCTTCACTCTGCCGCTCCTCTTCAGCTCCACATGGCCATTCATGTGAGAGTGGTCCACCTTCACACGGTCACTGCTACGGAGACTCATGTAGGCTGAGGAGCAATGACAAAGTATGTTTATTAACCTGCAATATCCTAAATCGAGCCAAGATGAGGTCAGGCAAAGACATATATACTCCCCTCGGTGCAACTGAGTTTACCATGTTCCATATTCTGAAGTATATTGTTAAAGCTGGAACGTTTTATGATTCATAAATACATTTTGTTTGACACAGAAAGTGTCTTGTTTAGAAAACATTTTGTAAACAGATCAGAGCACAACATGCTCCGTTTATCTTACATAGTAGAGCTGATTGAATGAGTGAGTGAGGGTGGTACTCTCTTTTTTTGTACTAAAACTAGTGATAGGAATGTGTCTGCAGCAAGGAACTGTGTTTTTGATCATTTTAAGAAAAAATTCCTTACCACGTCCATTCTGCACTCCACGCGAGGACAACCTGTAAGACAAGAGAGCAGAATTTAACTGCATCATAATATTTGAACAATATACACAAAATATATAGTGGAAGTGTGAAGGGTAAAAAAAAAATGCTTTCTGCCTACTAACACCAGAAGGAAGAGTTGATTTTTTTTCCCCCAAAGTAAAAAACTAACTTTCACCAGAGAAACTGACAAAACTAATTAATGTGCACAACATTATTTTAGAGGGCAGAAAACTTCTCTGAGAATCATAATGATACAATTACATCAAACTTTTATGCTTTTTAGAGAGGAGGGGTGGACCATGTTTGGTGCCAAAAGTTTGTGCTAGAAGTTTCTTATGGATCTTAAAACTCAGGTCTGCTTGAGGGAACAATGTTGTAAAGACCATTTGTATTGTTGGGCTCACCTGGTCCTATGCGTGGGGATGCTCCAGCTCACCCTCTGGCCCTTGCTCTGAGGAGGTGGAGAGGTGTCACTTGAACTGGGCTCTGAAGCATTCTGCCGCCGCATCCTCTTCTGCGGAGGGCGACGCGGGCTGCTGGGAGCGCTCATGTCACTACTGGGCTCCTTCTGAAAAGAAAACAAAAGAAGAATGAACTTTAACAATCACTGACAGCAAGCAATAAAACAGTGAAACAGTGATGCCAAAAAATACATTACAGAGCTGATCCAATAAAATCCATGGACAATACTGGTAAATAATTGCATCTATAACTTTCTATTGTTAACATATAGACAGAATATTTGTTTAGTAGATAGCATTTTAAAACCTCCATTGTTCTAGCATTGAACCCAATAAGAACTGTATCAAGTGTGATGACAGAAACCCATTCTAACAATATGAAAAAGCTACACAGAAGCCATTAACCATTATACATCAGAAATATGTCTGTAGTGTATAATTCTGCAAAATATAATCCTGCAATATAACGTATTGCAGCATCGCACAACCCTTTTTTGTTTTATTTACAAAATCATAGAATTCCCAATAATCTTCTTATAGCGGAGCATTGGGATGTAATTGTATTGTGAACTATTGATTGTGATACAAATCGTATAGAAAGCAATACACACTTTAACTGCAAATCTAATCTTACATATAAAGCATGAATTTATGTATCTAGCTAATGTCAGTTGCCTCCTGGTCCATGCATGAATTTGCATATGAAAAATATGAAGCAGTTAGTACAGAATTAATTTTCTTTGTTGTGGGGTTGTGAATAACTGCAATAATCTTTTATTGGATTTTTTTCAGAATTACCCTTTTAGGCTAAATTAGGCTTGTGTGGGTTATTGGAGACACGAGTTAACAGTATACAGTAGATCTACAATTAATGTCTTGAAATCAGTATGATCAAGAAAGAAAAATAACAAGTTTGACTATGTACATTATGTGATTCTACAAAATATGAAATCAATATTTCCTATACTATACAATATACTTCTGGGTTTTGACCCAGAAGTAACCATAACAGATATAGAGCTGAGAAAAAATCAATAGTTGTGGAGACCTTGAGGAAAGAGATCTAAAATTTCAGTTACGTGAGGAAAAAGCTCGCAGGAGACAGCTTGTGCCCAGCTTCTCGCGTTCTGTGAATCATAAGGGAACAGCGTCCAGACATCTGTCCTTGATGTTCACACCCTTTGCAGCTAAACTTGATAGAAAATCATATCTACTGTTGTCACCAGTAACTGCCAGTGTCTGCAAAAGGGTCTGACTATCAAGAACCATGGATTGCACCACACCAGCGTCTGTGTGTGGAGTCTGCAGACATGGTGACATTAAAAAGGCACAATACTTGGAGGGACTGCAATGGAATAACTAAAGGATAACGCTCATGTTCAACTCTAATATAAGATAAGATGTAAGATAAGATGTGCTTTATTTATCTCACAAGGAGAAATTTACATGTCACGTTTGGCATGGATAGAACACTCAGATTGTGCAAAAGGAGGAAATGTGCAAACATGTTACATGCAGGATATATATGTACGTGAATATTGGTTAAGGCGACAACCTGGTCAGGACAACTTGATACATAAAAGACTTGAATAAGTGGTATGATGAAAAATGAGACAACCTTTTACCATTGCTGAGCTGTTTTAGAAGGAATTTGTCTATTAGATCAAAATGTTGCAGTTTCGTTAAAAGTAGTTGATTGTGGACAATATTTATGTCAAAGTCACCTGAAGCATTGACAAATCATCACTGTTGTGGCAAAATAAACCAGTAGTTTTTTTTTTCCTTTTCTCTCTGAATCGTCAATGAAATTGTGACCAGAACAAGAACACACTAGTCTTTAGTTGTCCAAGAAAAGAAAGGAGTCCCAAACTGTATACTTTCTCAAAATGTTGCTTTTCAATTCAATTTTAGAGCAAGTAGTTGACAGACCAGATAACTTATATTAGGCCATCATAAACATGAGACACTGTGTAGTCAAAATAGTTGAATCCACACCAGAACACAGTGCAAGAACAAAATGTGCTTAATCAAAAGAGGCCAGCAAAAATCCCAACATTTGCACACTTTGTACCCAGCAGTCTATAATAAACATAGGTATGTAGCTACTCCACACCACAAAGCACTTGCCTCACATAACCCTAGTGTTTACATTTACAGACAAAGCGTGTCACCAGAGTTAATGGGCCAGTCTGCAAGACACTACAAAGACAAAGTAATATGGCAAAACGACACATTTTAAACGCGAAAATATATCATATACGTGACCATTGCAAACACACTTTAAAGAGATCGCATTTTTATTATTAGCAGCAGAAAGTTCACCAAGTTCAGACCTGTTAAATATGGGACACTAGCCAGCCAACCCTTCCCCCACCACTGAGCTAGCAGCCACCACTTTCCAACGCTAGGCAAACTAAATCTTTATCGCATTATACCACCATACTTGGCCGTGTATTTTTCATTCCGAGTGAGAGACTGAGCCCACTGCTAATTGTCTCCCACAGAAGTCCAGTTGTCCTACCATGGAAAGCGTATTAGCAGAGACAATAGCAAAACAAGTGAGCCGGTGGCCAAACACAAAGGGAACTCTACTGGTGCTAGCGGTGTTAGCATTGTTAGCATTGTTAGCGGTGTTAGCATTGTTAGCATTGTTAGCGGTGTTAGCATTGTTAGCGGTGTTAGCATTGTTAGCATTGTTAGCGTTGTTAGCGTTAGCATTGTTAGCATCTCGTGATTTGACAGCTGCAGTGTGAGAATCGCATTTGACGGAAGTGACAGTGGCTCTAGTGACTGATGTGCAAAGCTTCAAAGTGGTTGTATGTGGACGTGAGGCTGTCAGTGTCGTGCGATGGGTGTGTGTGTGTGCGTGTGCATGAGAGGTCCACTGTGTTGGGCCAATTGAGGTGTTAGCTACTTAGCCCCACTAGCACTTCTAGCGCTCATACACCGGTACAGAAACCAAGGCTTACATGCTCCTCTTTCCCTCTGGATGAAGCCCGAGTCCTGGAGGAGATGAACGGGTCGCTCCTCTGCGGCTGGGATCTCCTCGTGTTCACCATCTTTTCAGCCTTGATTTAGTCCTCGTTGTGGGTAATATTTGCCAGACACCGGCTCGAAACACTGGCTCAGAAAGCGCAGCATCGAGGCGCCATTTCTGTCTCTCCGTGGCCGCCTGTGTGAGTCTGTGCGCCCCACTCCCCCTGTCCCTCCCTCCGCTCCCCTGGATCTCTGTGCGGGGCAGGTGGACTGGTTTTCTGCTGAGTGGACAGAGTGACTGTAGTACTACTGACCCATTTCTCATTGGATTTTTCATTTGTGTCATTCTAATCTATTTTCCCATATTTTAATACCCCTCCCCCAATCTTTCATTACCACAATGCCAGTGCGTTTAAACCTCTTGAGTGGCTTTTTGAAGACACGTTTTATGTAAAAGTATTCAGAAACAGTTTGTCCTAAATACATCCTGCTTTATGTAAAATCATTTTTTTTTTCAGGTGCATTTCAATAAGGATCACAATGTTTCTTGAATGATTTTAAACTAGTTGGGAAAAGTGTGAAACCACTGCTTTAATGAAAACCTCCCAAGCACCTCCCAAGTCTGCGTTCCTAGTGACTTCTGCTACCCATAATAGTCTAATCTTGAACTGGACTGTCAAGCAATTTTTGAATATATTTATACGTGCGGTTATTTCTATTAGTATTGAAATGTATTGTTGTGTACTGTTTTCCACTGTATATTGCAAAATCTGTTTCTTTTTTGTTTTTTTACTCTTGTAGACGGGTATAAAGGGTATAACTGTATTAAGATTTGTAATCAATATTTACTATCAATGATAGCAATCCAGATATGCATTGATCAAACTTCCTGCGCAGTAATCATGGATCCATAATATCACAGTAATTGTGAGTAATAGTCATGGATCTATAATAAGAAAACTCCGAGGGAAACTGTAGTAGAGCAAAAAAATAACAAAAATAAACTGAGTTACACAATGGTAAGTTTACAGTGTAGATATGTATTCTTTGTTGGAAAAGAGTTTTAGAGAAGTGCTATTTTCGTTGGGAATGCAGTAAGTGACATTTGGGAAATGCAAAAAGTGCTGAGATCAGCAGTGCTATAGCTGCTTTACGACAATTGGAGTCGGGGTACGTCGCTACTTACGTCACTCACAGCACTTTAATTAAAGCTAGAAGAGTCAGTGGTTTTATTCCGTATCATTTGTGGCGACCATGCTGTAATTGTAACAGATGCACAATTTAAATAGAAAATAAAGTTTAACTGCTCCAAAACGGTTTGTTTTGATATTGTGCACAACCAGATAAATACATAAATCCTATCTAATAGCCGCACTGGAATAGACATTATAATAAAAGCAAAATCTTGAATAAAATGAATGTATCTATGTTTTAAGAATTAATATTGTCTAACAAAGGTTACATATTATGCTATTTAATTTGGTATAGTTTTTGTTATGTCATTATTTTAAACTCCATCCACCTAAATTGAACTTCTGGAACAATTAGATACAACAACATCCCTCTGCCCCACCTGTCCAAATGCTGATTTTTCAACCTCAGTGCTCTATGACGAATCCGTCAAGAGCAAAGATGTTTAGTCCTTTTTTTGATAGAAATTTTATGACAACAATTTATTCATTCATTCCATATTTCTATTCATAATTGTGTTGTGCATGTGGCGGATTACATTTTGATGATTGATGATTTCTTGGTGGAACCGATCTATAGCTCTGTTTTCTGTTTCGCACATTATCCTACTGCTTTGTGTCTTGAGGGGAATGGGGTTGCCACTGTTGGTTTAGACTGTCAGTAAATCTACTGTCAAAGGATGAGAAAAAAATCTACCATATCCCACCAGTAGTAAGATTATAAACTATACTAAACTTTTGAAAGTGGGGAAAACTGGGATAGCTGTATGTAAAATGCACAGGTTACTGTCTCAAAAATGGCACAGCAGGACATGCCCATCACTTCTGTGGAGTCATCTCGTTTCCTGGACACATCACCCAGGACCTCAAGTGGGAGCCGACTATTAGCTCCCTCATCAAGAAGGCCCAGGAGAGGATGTATTCATGTGACATTTAATAACTTTATAACATCCTTATTCTATATTTGACTTTATTATTTTTTATGCCAGCGCCAATTCATAGTTTGTGAGTTTCCTGATCACTGAAGATGGCAATAAAAGATTCTGACAGTTTAATTGTGCATATATTGCCCTTGCATCAGGGAATACAGATAAAACACATAGCCCGACTAAGAAAAAAATATGTTCTAAATACTTCTAGTTACAGTATTATTAGTCCTGAAAATAGTTACAGGACCAGCCACCAAATAGAATATAGAGACACTCATCAAAAAATTGTGATACTACATTTGTTTGTAATTTGCTAGTGTGAGATTGTAATACTTGTTTAACTGCTTGATAGCCTTATCTTATTGTTATTATACTGAAGTTTAAATGTTTAATTCAAATCACCTATAAAACGTCAATCTTACCCACTGTCCCTTTAACTATGTTGCAGTTACAACATGGCTGCCTTTACCATGGTGATGGGCGCTCTAGCTCTGATCTTAGCGACTCGCATCTCCTCCTCTTTGCTCAGCTGCTTCGGTGGCCAGTCAAACTTACGGCTGCAGATGTGTGGCCCGGGATTAACCGAGAAAGCACGGACTGGTAAATCTGCCTTTGACCTTACCCTTACCACACGCGTACGAACTAAGCGGCCGTGTGATGGCATGGCTGTCATTCCGCTGCTAGTTGTAAAACCACGCCGCCCACTTACATCATTTACGATGACGCTACACGCTCGCGCTCTTGTTTACTGGTCATGCTTTGGATATGATGAATTATATGACCGTATTGAATTAAACGTGTATTTGATTTACGCCCTACAAACTATGCAGCTGATCTGTATTCAATTGTTATTACTGTCTAAATAAGCTTTATTTGTGTCTGTAGATGGGAAAAACAAAGCGTCATGAAAGATTGTGACACTGAGGGCGATGACAAGGAAGATATCTGGTGAGTGAGTGCAAATATATCCACTTTAGGAGTATACGACACTATTACTATTACTATACTATACATCATCAATAGGATTATTATATTATCCTGTCTCACAATGGTCTAATCTCAGCTCACGTTCCCTATCACTTGGGGAAAAATCCAACGCTTTGTGATTTCTGTTATATATATTACACATTAGTAATAACAAAGCAATTTGTGACATTGTGTAAAATATATTAGATATGAATTCCCCCCCCCCCCCCACCCCTCCTTTAACCGGGCTGATATTACCCAGGCCTGTCTCAAGATAGTGAGACAAAAATATTGTGCGGCAAACCATTATTATTTACATTGCTTACTTATTACATACTTATTTATGTATGTATGTTCTTCATAATTAAAGCTGGTGCACCTAACTTTCAAAGCAAGAAATATGAAACCATTATAAGTCCATCTAGTTCCTGAAAAAGTCGTTTTGTGTATTCTTGCAATACCAGTGTCAGTGCAACCCTTCTTAAAAATTGTTTTGTTGCATAGTGATGAAAGCGAAGAGGAGGTTCCGATCAGGAGAAGTTTCTCGGTTGAAGACCTGCTCGATGAGGTGGAGAAGATTTGTTACGATGCATCAGGGACATCTAAGGTCAGGAAAAGTCTCCTCCTGCTCCCAGCCGCATTCACTCCACATCAGAGCTATAGACTATTCTTTGTCCCTAACCCTTGTCCGAAATTGAAATGAAAACAGACTGAATGAATACTATTGTACATTTCCAAACACTAAATAGTATTTAGCACAGTATTGGCCTTTGTCATGGCCCTCTGACAGTTGAATGCTTGTTGCAGTTGGAGATGGTGGTGCGACTGTGGAAAGACGGCTTCACTGTGAACGATGGAGAGTTTCGCAGCTACTCTGTGCCGGAAAACCAAGACTTTTTGGATTCCATCAAGAGAGGGTATGTTTTAAACAGAGCGACATATGTATAAGACTTAATAGACTTGATGTATTGTGGCACGAAAACCTTATAATAATTGTTTACTGTCTGTGAAGTTTTATTCCACGTTTTATTCAAGCCATTTTTTCCCTTTTCAAAACCAACCTACGTACGTTCTGGACCACTGCTGGCCAACCAGAAATATTTGCAAAATTAATAGTTTTATAAAGCCAGAAAGAAACATGTTTGAAAAAGTGGTGGTGGTACTTACTTACTACTTATACTCCATACCCCCTACATGCCCCCCTCAAGATATTTTGAAGAATGTATAATATTTCTTTCCAATTAAATGTATCAAATGTATGCAAAACTGTGATATAAATCTCAATAGGACAGTCTCAAAATGACCAGTCACCAAACAATCGGCAGCTTATGGAGGAGATGGGTCAAAGAGAGTGATAAGACAGGTCTATATGTGACTATAAGTTGCCAACACCGTTCAGTAACCCATTCTGTGAGTAACTTGACTCTTTCTTATGTAGCTCAGACGTTATGACACATTTCACATGGGTGCTTTGAAAATGTAAATGTGTATATGCACTTAACTGTAGCATACATATGTAAAAAATAAAATAATAATAATAATAATTGTTTTTTGCTTACAAAGTCTGTACATTCACTGTGCCAATTGAGACGTGGAGCTCACACTGTTTGGCTTTTCCACTCACACCTGGTGGTTACAGCCTTTTCCATGTCTTCAGTGCTTTGTTAGGTTATATTGTAGGTTAAGTTGTGTGTTTAGCAACTTACCTTTTAAGTCATTCAAACTGCTTTTATTGCTATAAGGAGTAAGGACACCAGGAGGCCTCAGTCCCCGATTTGGGAATCACTGGCCTTGACATTTGAATGTGATTTTACCAATGGATTTGATTTATTTGATTTATTTTCAAGCTTATAAAAAGGAATGGAATTAACAGCAATTACATACATTCATTTTTTCACTCCTGTCAAAGCTCAATTCTCGTGAACAGTTGCAGATTCACCCTCACACTGTACAAGCATGAGAGATTACAATCTTGTTTACACGTTCTTGTTTTTGATCCACCAAAAAAAAAGCATACACAAGAGAATTTGATCACTTTAATCATATACTCACAACTCTATAATTCACATCAGTTTACTGCCAATACTGAGCACTGAGGCATGTCACGCATTTATATTCATTTATCTTTCTAATTGGTCCCACTTCATCCATCATTTACCCGTCTCAGGGAGCTGCCGTCCGAGTGGGCGAGCCGCGCTGAGGAAGAAGAACTCGAAATCAGCGTGGAAGACTTCATCGAGGAAAGCTACGTCCCCAAAAAGAAGGCATTCCACCCGTTCAGTGGACGCGGCTACCGGCTGGGCAGGTGTGTGCATTTCTGCTCCTCTCCTCGGTTAACATTGGAATAAAAATAGCATTCCCGCCTCAAGTGGTAGAGCTAATTTTAGAATATCGCAGATCACTTTGAAACCACTAGATGTCTCTGTAAACCCAGCATTTCCATAAACCAGTTGTTACCATTTCTTTTTCTATCTTTGCTTGTGATCAGAATTGACTTTTTTTGTGGGGCAGAGTAACCTCTAGTTTGGCTATTGAATTAAAGAATTTTTGAATGCAAGCTAAGTTTGATTTAAGGCCACTAACTATAGGAGAAGGAAGCATCTTTTTCTGAATATAAATGTAGCACTGTAAGTAAGTAGTAGTAAGTAAGCTTTATTTATATACCGCCTTTCACAGACCAGAGTCACAAAGCGGTTTACAATTGTTATTTTTTGGGCATTTGTCTCTCACTCCACACAGAGATGGGAGCGGGGTCGCCGAACAGGAGGCGCATGCCAGACCTATTGTACATATTTTTAGTGGTAGGGGAAACCGGAGTACCCGGAGGAAACCTACGCAGACACGGGGAGAACATGCAAACTCCACTCAGAAAGGCCCTGGTCCGGCCGGGATTCGAACCCAGGACCTTCTTGCTGAGAGGCGAGAGTGCTATCCACTCAGCCACCGTGCAGCTGAATATTACAACATAACACTAGCTGGTGCATTATTCAATCGTGTACAAATAAATTATCCACACTGTTTGCTCGTCTCCGTAGCTGCGAGCGCCCGTCCTCATCTGACTTCTCATTATTACAATGGACAACACAAGTACAATGGCGTGCAATGCAAAACTGGTTAATCTTTCTGTAATGTTGTGTCCGTTGGTTTGCAGCGTGGCGCCCAGAGTAGTGGCCAGGTCACCATCTGTGCATGAGGATGGAGAATCTGCTCCTATTCCCATGGTAACACTAGACCACGCCCTGCCCGTTACCTCGCTGCAGATTTGGTTGGCTGATGGGAGAAGACTGATACAAAGGTTTAACTTATCGCACCGGTAAGTATACACATGCAGTGCCTCTCACACAGCAGCAGCAGCAGCAGCAGCAGCAGTAGCAGCAGCAGCAGTAGCAGCAGCAGCAGCAGCAGCAGCAGCAGCAGCAGTAACAGCAGCAGTAGCAGCAGCAGTAGCAGTAGCAGCAGTAGCAGTAGCAGTAGTAGCAGTAGCCGTTGGTGCTGCTGTGAATGTAAGATAAGATAAGATAGACTTTATTGATCTCACACTGGAGAAATGTACATGTCACATTTGGCAGACAGAAGTGTGCAACATGTTAAAGGTGAAAAATGTAGTCCGTACAGGATATAATTATGTACAATAAAAAAGTGTAAATAAAAAAAATAAAAGTGTGGCAATAGCAGTGCAGGTTTTATGACTTAAAGTGACTTATTGTACAGTCTGAGAACGGTGAGGATAATGTGTGGGCCTCTGATGCATTTCTGGATATTTTACTTATGACTTTTAATGCATGAATATAGTATGCATCTAGAATCTAAAAGTGAAATTCAGAAAATTAGAATAATGATCAAAAGTTCATTTATTTCTGTAGTTCAACCCAAAATGTGAAACCAATAATATGATAAAGACTCATTACATACAAAGTGACACGAGCCAACCCTTTGTTTGTTAGAATTCTAGAATGATTATGGCTTACCCCAATTTTTTATTATCTGAGATGTTTTATTATGGGTTTTTACATCTCAGATTCAGATTCATTTATTTGCCATTTGCAGTAAAACCACATAGGAAAAACTGTGCAAGACTACCCCAGTGTGCACCAGACGACACACACCAGAGCTCTTACCACGAGCTCTGGTGTGTGTCAGCTCATTTGTGAGCTGATTGTCAACAAATAAAGGCTTGATACTTCTAACTTTCTCTTTAATGAGACCATCATTAGTTTCACATTAAGTTGAATTACATAAAAATTCACTTTTCGAGTTTCACTAGTACAGGGGTCGGCAACCCGCGGCTCCGGAGCCGCATGCGGCTCTTGAGTGCTCCTGGAGTGGCTCCTGGAGCGGCTCCTGGAGCCTTTTCAAAATGTCTGAAAATGGAGTGTGAGGGCTATATTTTATTTCTAGTTTGAATGTGGTTTCTGTAGGAGGAAAAACAATCTTTACGTTTTTAAATGCTGTAAAAATGTGTATAAGTAATATTTAATTTCAACATTTCTGTCAACGTAGTGCGTCATATCCTATGACGCGCGGTCACCCGGCCCCGCCCCATGCGGCCGCTGCTGTAAACAAACCGGCGTGTGTGCATGATAGACTGTAAGTGCACATGGATCCCAAAGCTAAAACGAGAAAGAGTCGATAACAAGACTGGACTAAGAATGAGAATGAACATTTTCTTTCAGTCAATGAGGAAGGACTGCTTCATGTTTGTAATGAAAAGTTTTGTTGCAACAAGAGGAACAATGACGCGCAAAACGACGTAAACGGTGATTACGTGAAGGATTCATTCATCAAAAATTCAGAGCACCTATTTTCAGACTTCAAAACCTTCTCAAAGATGGTGAAAGAAACGGCCATTAAGGATTTTAATTCAGCTCCAGCAAACTTCAGCCTGTGACGTGATGGATATGAGCAGACAGTGATGCAGGTATGTGACCTCTGAGCCCAAAGCAGATTGATTTACTGTATTTCTATAATTGCATGAAGGCAAAAAAAATGGAAGTTAAACTAAAGCAGAGTTGTCACGTGTTGCGTCATTCACGACACGCGTGGTGCGACACGCTGCAGTGAAAATACACATTTGATAATCATGAATGATTATTATGTATTTGTAGCCTTTACTTTGTCATTTAGATATTAGGCTAATATAGCTAATACATCTTGCGTCCTGTGTTACCTTCATAAAAGCCTTATACAAGGCTGTTATTTTTTTGCGGCTCCAGACAGATGTTGTTTTTAGTTTTTTTGTCAATTATGGCTCTTTGAACATTTTGGGTTCCCGACCCCTGCACTAGTACATAGATAATGTCATATGTATCTGTTAGTCCAACTTTGTCTTGTTTTAACAAGACAAATATCTATCCTTTGGAAGTATAACAGGGATCCTTTTAGAGATATACTGTATATGGAGTGGGAGGAAGAAAATATATTTCCACACCATTAGTCCATCAGTAAGACCCAGTTTTAGGGTTTATAATAAAAACCTAAATAGACCAACCAAAAATGAACTTGATCATTTCAATTTGTGGCTACGCTCTTGAATTATTATTTATTACTACAATAAAAATCACCAATATTAACGTCATACTGTCTGTGTTCCATGATCTTCTGTACTAGCAATTACAATGAGGTATTTCTGTCTCTATTTTTTTAATTCACACTTTTATAAAAGTTTATACAAAAAATAAACAACATTGAACAGTCAGCGTGACAGAAATACAAGAGCTAACAATAAAAGCCACTCTTTTAACCAAACAGAGAGAAAATCCTCTCACACCCAAACGTGTGACAAAAGAAAATCACATTAACACATGCAGCTGGGTGAGGTCTTTCCCCACTAAAGAGCAGACTACATGAAAACAGAAATGGTTTTTAAACGCTTTTACACAATCACATTTAAGCCCTGAAGAGACAAAATATAATCAGAAGTTTTATGATATATATATATATATATATAAGTTTTCACGATACACTTTGAACTGCATTGTATTGTCCTGACTATATAGCCTTATCATTTCCCATTGACAATGATAATCCGGAATTCCAGGTTTTGGAGGCGTTTGAACACAAAGCTTATACCGGCTCATTCTATTGACTATACAGTATACTCTAAACAGTTCTTTTTATCTGTGCAAACAACTGAGTGATTTTATGTTTACTATTTTGAATGTACTGTGTGTCTTTTTTTCTTGTTCAGCATTTTGGTTGTCTTCAATTGTGCCTATTTAAAAATAATATTCATGCTTCCATAATGGTATGTAAAATTCTACATACCTCCAAAAAAAACTATTGTTATTTTTTTCACAATTCCCACATTGACATTCCAAATATTGGATGGATTTCAGCCCTGGCCTATTCATATTGAGTGGTACATTCAGCATAGAATTGTGCTTTTTTATTTATTTATTTATTTTTATTTGATGTAGTGCAGGCAAAAACAAAAATCAAAACAGTAAAAATACGAATGGCTAGCTCAAATGCTATTTACAGAGAGTGTTAGTATGTGCTTATATGAAACATGAAGTGCGACGTGGGTAATTGTGCTTTTTCTTTGTTGATATTTGTCCTTTTATTAGTTTTTTTTTGGGATTACGTAATGCTTTGTTGAGCTTGTTGTCTCTCTTCCCATAGTAGTGCACTGGGCTGCTGAGAATATAATCTGTGATATAGCAAAGGAGTGGATCTATAAAATCCCCAGAGAGGCATTGCGTAACTCTGATGGCGCATTTATGTAACGGGGTTAGCAGCTAAAGCGTACGCCATGGAAGCCCTCCCAACCCCTGCCTATAGCATTCGTCCCAGCCCCGAACTGCTCATATGAGGACGCTGCTCATCAATAATATATGGCTCTTTTCGTACGATGCTTTGAAGTGATGCTAGTATCAGGCCAGAAACGCTTGGCAACTAAATATGAACGCTCCATAGGGGGTCTTTGTGGTCCTGCCAAAAAGTGCACAACAAATTATCTGATAAAGACTTTTCCAACAAACAAAATACACATTTCCATTATTGGTATCATTATTTCATATCGTAGATTGCCTGACTACTCGCCCTGCGGTCAAAAATGAATTTCTCATTCAACCAGCGCATAGAATATACAGTGCCTTGCGAAAGTATTCGGCCCCCTTGAACCTTTCAACATTTCGCCATATTTCAGTCTTCAAACATAAAGATATAAAATTTTATTTTTTTGTCATGAATCAACAACAAGTGGGACACAATCGTGAAGTGGAATGAAATTTGTTGGATAATTTAAACTTTTTTAACAAATAAAAAACTGAAAAGAGGGGCGTGCAATATTATTCGGCCCCTTTACTTTCAGTGCAGCAAACTCACTCCAGAAGTTCAGTGAGGATCTTTGAATGATCCAATGTTGTCCTAAATGACTGATGATGAGAAATAGAATGCACCTGTGTGTAATCAAGTCTCCGTATAAAGCACCTGCTCTTTGATAGTCTCAGGGTTCTGTTTAAAGCGTAGAGAGAACTATGAAGACAAAGGAACACACCAGGCAGGTCCGAGATGTTGTTGTGGAGAAGTTTAAAGCTGGATTTGGATACAAAAAGATTTCCCAAGCTTTAAATATCTGAAGGAGCACTGTACAAGCAATTATATTGAAATGGAAGGAGTATCAGACCACTGCAAATCTACCAAGGGCGGCACGGTGGCGGAGTGGATAGCACTCTGGCCTCTCAGCAAGAAGGTCCTGGGTTCGAATCCCGGTCGGACCAGGGCCTTTCTGAGTGGAGTTTGCATGTTCTCCCCGTGTCTGCGTAGGTTTCCTCCGGGTACTCCGGTTTCCCCTACCACTAAAAATATGTCCAATAGTTCTGGCATGCGCCTCCTGTACTGGCCCCGCTCCCATCTCTGTGTGGAGTGAGAGACAATTGCCCAAAAAATAACAATTGTAAACCGCTTTGAGACTCAGATCTGCAGTGAAAAGGCGGTATATAAATAAAAACTTACTTACTTAAGTTTGGAGGGGACGACCAAGACCTGGTCGTCCCTCCAAACTTTCATCTCAAACAAGGAGAAGACTGATCAGAGATGCAGCCAAGAGGCCCATGATCACTCTGGATGAACTGCAGATAACTACAGCTGAGGTGGGGATGGTGTGTTCAGGGTGATGAGCTGTGTTGCGTTTATGCCTAACATATCGTTTTGCATTGTGGCAGAAAAGTTTGATTTTGGTTTCATCTGACCAGAGCACCTTCTTCCACATGTTTGGTGTGTCTCCCAGGTGGCTTGTGGCAAACTTTAAACGAGACTTTTTATTGGATATCTTTGAGAAATGGCCACTCTTCCATAAAGGCCAGATTTGTGCAGTGCACGACTGATTGTTGTCCTATGGACAGACTCTCTCACCTCAGCTGTAGTTATCTGCAGTTCATCCAGAGTGATCATGGGCCTCTTGGCTGCATCTCTGATCAGTCTTCTCCTTGTTTGAGATGAAAGTTTGGAGGGACGGCCGGGTCTTGGTAGATTTGCAGTGGTCTGATACTCCTTCCATTTCAATATAATTGCTTGTACAGTGCTCCTTGAGATGTTTAAAGCTTGGGAAATCTTTTTGTATCCAAATCCGGCTTTAAACTTCTCCACAACAGTATCTCGGACCTGCCTGGTGTGTTCCTTTGTTCTCTCTGCACTTTAAACAGAACCCTGAGACTATCAAAGAGCAGGTGCATTTATACGGAGACTTGATTACACACAAGTGCATTCTATTTATCATCATCAGTCATTTAGGACAACATTGGATCATTCAAAGATCCTCACTGAACTTCTGGACTGAGTTTGCTGCACTGAAAGTAAAGGGACCGAATAATATTGCACGCCCCACTTTTCAGTTTTTTATTAGTTAGACAAACCCCAAGCGACTTGCAGCTGTAATTGCAGAAAAAGGTGGCGCTACAAAGTATTAGTGCAAGGTGGCCGAATAATATTGCACGCCCCATTTTTCAGTTTTTTATTTGTTAAAAAAGTTTAAATTATCCAATAAATTTTGTTCCACTTCACGATTGTGTCCCACTTGTTGTTGATTCATGACAAAAAATATTTTTTTTATATCTTTATGTTTGAAGACTGAAATATGGCGAAATGTTGAAAGGTTCAAGGGGGCCGAATACTTTCGCAAGGCACTGTATTTGTACTTTGATCAATGGAGCTGCCGAGTGGACGTTCATTATTTTCTCTCTAAATTTTTGTATTTCTTTTATTTTCAAAGAACAAACAAGACCATGCACAAACACATACACACAGGTCCAGGACAAAAACAAATATTATCATAAAAGTATTATGTTATTCTATACCAGACATTGATAACTTACAATTATAATGTCTACGAGATGAACCTTCCTAAACAAATATTATTCAAACAATAATCAATATTATGGAGTAATAAACCACATTTGCATTGAAAGTTGTTTTTGAAATCTTTAACACTGCAAAATTCCCAACTAATTGTTCAGAATTTTAAGGTTTGATGGTGCTTTTTGGGGCTGGGACAACCATGCGATAGATCGTAGTAAGTAGATCACAAGTTAGCCCCCGCGGTGTCTTCTAACTCTAATTGGGAGACACCCGAGACCTGGAAACGGATAAAGCGACAGAAAAATGAATGGAATGAATGGAATCTTACATTCTGGAACCTGGAAGCTCCACCCCCTTTGCCGCTCCACACCGGCTTGTTTTTAACTACATTATTATTCAAAATACTATCTTTCTTTTTCAACATATTTCAACATTATTCCCTCATTGACTTCCATCCAGACTGATAAAAAAGGAACCTCCCTCCCTTCTGTCCAAATGCTGTGTTTTCAAACTCCTTATGATACTCGGACTATTACGTCATGGACAGAGCTGCAGTATTGCTTTTAAAATAGCTTTGGTGATTACTCCAGTGAAATAATATGTATTCTTAAAGCTACAATACCTGATGCAGACCGTTTATCATGGGTACGAGGATATTTAAAATGATGATTCTATTCAGTTTAAGTCATGTTTTTGTTTGATTGTTACATTATTTAATTGTTCTCTCTGGATTCTCATTATATCATATCCTCCTACACGTGTTTGGCTTTGTTATTCTTCTATGACAGTGTTTGATCTCTGTTGGTATATTTCTTTACATAAATTATGCTTCAATCCTGTTTATATATAGATCACAGAGCTCCTCCTGTTTTTTTTTTCCTGATTTCTCCACTTTCTTTTCAATGTTAACTTATTATTTCATCCGGCTCAAAATAATTGATGCTGTACATTTCAATAAAAGCTACATCTAAATAGTGTTTGAACTTGAAATGAAAGCAGGACTAAAACTGTATTAGAGCAGGACTTAAACTGGACCAAACAAGAGTGCTGTTCCTTCCACCGATAGTTTCTTTTCACCTACATTACAAAAAAATGGGCACAAGAAAATACATTAAAGGGAATAAAAAAGAGGCACAACTGACTTTAATGTAAAATCCTTTATTTTCATGAGACACAGTCGTGTTTTGACCAATTTTGTGCAGACAATAAACGGCTGATCAGGCACAGGTGCTATTTATAGACACAAGTCACGTGATGAGTCATGTGTGGCCTGAAAAAAATTGGAAACAATGTTTTAAAATCTCTCTATATACAAACACACATATGCACATCCACATACACAAGTACACACCCCCACACACCCATACATACATACTGTATATACAATATGTAATTTTTTTTCACAATTAATAGCCAGAAAATACCTTGTTTTAAGCTTAAAAAGGATAAATAGAAAGGAGGAAATCCGAGGCGCTCTTGACAGAGTATAAATTTGCTCATCCCTGTTTGTTAAATCATGGACTTTCCAGATTCTGATAGACTGGATTGTCTACTTTCATCAGCAAAAATAAGTTTGTTTCTAGCTAGTTTTGTTCTCCTGTAATCCCCAATTGAATAGAAGGAAGTTTAACAGAAATCACTGGCCTGACTAAAATATACCCTCTAAAGCTCTCATTTGTCTTGAACTTCTTTTAAAAACTAATATACTGTATAACCGGTTTCAGAATCACTGACGTCCAAGATTTCGTGGCACGCTGCCAGAGGAGCTGTCCGCCTTTCGTCCTGACCACATCTGTACCGTTTCGGGAGCTGAGCGACCAGGAGCTGAGCCTGGAGGAAGCGGGTCTGTCCAACGCCGTGATCGTGCAGCGGCCTCTCAACACGCAGGCCGCTTTTGGACACTCCTCCTGACCGCACACACCGGGACAGGAGGAGCCACCCTTCCACACACTTACACTGATTACAAGCTGTAAATGTGTAAATCACTGCCCATTGACTCATGTCACCTTACATGCTGTTTTTTAAAATAGGGCTGGGAGATTTTTTTATTTGGTTTAAATTCATAACATTAATTCATTTAATAATATAAACACATGCAGTTATAGGACACCAATGAAAGCCAAAATTACATGCTAAACCTTTTATGAGGATAATAATTAGACAACAGTTGATATGTACTGACAAGAAAGATGTGGTGAGTGGGTAGAACTCTCGCTTCTCAACAAAAAGGTCCTGGGTTCAAATCCTTGGTCAGAACGGGGTCTTTCTAAATGCCGTTTGCATGTTCTCCCGACGTCTGCGGCCCTAGTGGCATTAAAGGGTGGGTCAAATGCAGACGATGTATTTTCCTACAGGGACAATAAAGAATAACCTAAAACCTTCAAAACATTCAAATGTTTCTTAGAATTTCATCATGATTCAGTAACCAATAAAAGGCTTTGCTCAATACCATTTTAACAAAAAACACTACATTGGTTATACATTATCTTCCCTTTGTAGTTTGTGGAAAAACCGTTGCTTAATTTGCAATGTGTGGAGCTCTGACTGTGCTCGGAATGGTATTTTATATTTTAAAGAAATATCAATGTCAGTATAAATGAATATTGATATTTTAGCACCTCGCTCATTTACACGTTTTATGCGTTTTCATAAAAATAACACCCAGGATGGTTATTGAGCCATTACATTTTGATATGGAAATTTTCAAATTGATAGACATAACCTGCTTTCTCTCACCAAGACACTGCATTTCAAAAATACTTTTATTTCACTGATTCATGCTTATTCTCACATTGAACAATAGAAATAGTCAAGTGTAATGAACTAAAGTGTAAATGCATTACTTTTTCAACTGCCATTTTCTCATCAATATCTTAAACTGCCACACAGATGGATTATCTCAGCAAATAAGAAGTGCTCAGTGCAATGATAAAGATTTTGACTGATTTTAGTGCCATATGATTCAGTCAGTAATGGGTCAATAGGCTGCGTTCATGTCCTGGAATTCTCTTTCAGTTGGAGGCTGGTGCCGGTACAACTCTTTGGGGCAGAAGCTATTTTATAGATAAAATACAATGTCCGAATGTTTCCCCAGATCATTATTTGACAGTGAATGGATTCAAAAAACTAACCATATTATCCTTATGTCTATCCTTATGACCGTTCTACTGGCCAACATTATGTTTTCATCACTTCTTGACATTTAGGCTATAGTTGATATGAACCGATGTGGAACTTTGTGACAGTTTTCATTTCACGTAGACTGACCCAGGAATTACAAAGAAATTACCTCCGAACTAAGACTGGAAATCTGACTTTTGACAGTTACCATAGTTACCAAGACTTTTCAGCTGCCCTCCACCACACAGTGTTATAAACTATAGGCTTTTTGTTAACTATACGCAACTTTACTCATATAAGACAATTCGTATACACGTCGATACACAACCCTATACAGAACAAGCATCAAGAAACATTAAAATCATAAACTTAAACAAGTAAATCAATAAATCACCACAGTACATTATTTTGTAACAGAAAAGTGCATACACCATTTTTAGATTTGAGTAAAAGACTGTTCCATATTTAATTTAATGCATTTCACACATCTCTGATCCTGTTAATACTGTTTTTTTTTTGTGAGCAATGGAACATATCATTACAGAATAGGACATTTAAAATCACTGAAGTAAAAGCTTGAACCCCAATATGCACTTGCTCTACTCTACTCTATGCTTATAATGCTGTACACTGTGCAAATGCCATCTAAAACAAGGATTCATGTTCCTGTGTAAATCGCCGCATCCCTGGTTAACATTTTAATTCCAAAATCTTCAAAACAACACTATTTGTCTGTCGCTGTACAACAACAACAACGTTATAAAATACACCAGCACTTCTTAAGTCTTCCCAAAATGCTTTCTCTGATCTCTGCACTAAAATGAACGGGGCTAGTACATTTTACTCGTGATCTTGCATCTTGTGATCCGACATTAAGGATAAGCTATATTTATAAAGAAGCATGCTCTTTGGTTTACATTCATGTGATGAGGAGGAGTTAATATTTATGTGGACAGACCGAGTGCCATGTCATGCTACAGTCTTTTCTTGGATTGCCTTTATTTTGGAGTTGAATGTACCTCAATATCTTGTTTTAGGACAAGTAAGCTAATAAAAACTATACTTTATGCACTCAAGTTGTGGAATGATTCTTGGTTTGGTTCTTTGGCTTCGTTTATGGACTTTAGTTGCCTGATCAACGATATATATATATATTTTTTTTAACCTTCTTTCTTTTGAATACGTGAGGTACTGGATCTCGGCCCTGAGCAGCCGGTTCTGCGGTGCATGTGTCGCATTTGATTGGAGTCTTATGGAGTGGAATGTAGACAGGATAAATTAGAATATTGTTCAAAAGTTCATGTATTTCTTTACTTCAACTAAAAATATAAAATGAATAAATACATTTGTTATAAGATAAGATTAGATACAGACTTTATTGATCTCACACTGGAGAAGTTTACAATGTATTGACTCATTGCTCATTTATTGACCCTAATCCTGACCCTTTTTTTTTTCATTTTATTTTTTATTTTGGGTTTTTCTCAATATTCTCAAGAGTCTTATATTAGTTTCGCATTGTAAGTTGAATACAATGATATTCCAATTTTTTTTCAGCTGTATGTCCTAAAGCAGAGGGTCCTGGTGGGTTAAATTGCTGTGGCCAAGTGGATAGCGCTAGCAAGCAGGTTGAAGGTTCAATCCCAACCAAAACATGCACCGCAGCTTTAATCCTCAAGCTCTGGTCGTACTGACCAAGAGCATCAACATCGGCAGATGGGACTTATCGAGGATAAGGGTTATGTGAACCCATCTTCCTGTGGGACCCATATATGTACATTATATATACTTCTATTAAACATTCCAATAGTGTTCAGATTATAACTTATGTTTTATTTTCAACTAAATGTTTCAAAGCAAACTGATTATTATTAATCAGAGTAAAAAATTTACTTTTTTTTTAGATTTTCTTTTTTAACCATGAGGAAAAATTCCATGAGATTAAAACACTTTTTTAGGGGAGTCATGGGCAGGAAGCAAAGTTATACATAAAAATACAGTTAGATTAAATTAAAATGAAAAGTAGACATAAAGAAAAATACATTAGTAAAGTCTAAAATGCTCTAATCATTATTTTAAGGATTTAAGGATAATAACTACACAAACAAAGGCTTTTGTCCCCATGTCTGTGCGGGCAAAAGGAAGAAAGAACAAGAGCTGATTGTTGGACCTGTTTTATACTTCTATTAGAAGATAATGCACAGATGTAAGAGTACAAGACAATTGAACACATTCCTTCAGGACCCAGGACTGTTGGTACATTAAATTAGACAAAACCTTCTTGCAAATATCATACAAACATTGTAAGGGCTGCTATATATTGCAACAGTCCTTTTCATTTCTTTGTGATGGGGCCAGTGCCTAGGGCCCTGAAGTGGTCCAGGTGCAGGAGACAGAAATGCAGATACAGAGTGTGGACATTAAAATAACATCAGGACAAATTGGCTTTAATGAATGGTCCGTTTGGGGAGGACACGGAGCAGCCTGCTTCTACCACAGGAACATCTGCTGTCATTAGGGATTTGAAAGGAGCCACAAGAGAATTATTGAGCGTTTATGTGATTGGTTTAGTATCATTTGGTTCCTATGGTGATGTCGTCCATGTATATACTTTCATAAAAGAATTACATTTTGCACATGTAGAGGCTGGCACTTACACCTGTCAATGAGACTTACAAATTATTTATATAGAACCAATCACTAATTTTGCATAAAATAAAGCTGTACTTAGTAAAGTAAGTATAGGTATCTACTTCAAACTTTTATTGTTCATACAGCATAACAAAAAACCAACAAGATCCACTTTTATTAGTAGAGCGCCTTTCCCACACAACCCATATCACATCAGGCATAAATCATAAACATGAAAAGATATAATTAATGATAAAGAACTGCATTCTTTATCATAGTTAACGTGTTTATTACGAAAATGAACTTAGTTGAAGGCCTGGCATACACCAATTCTAATACAGGGGAAACAAGCTAACAGTGTCATCCAACCAACTTCAGCTCTGCCAATACAGCCATTTTATTCCTTGTTCTAATGATGAGATCCTCTGGAATCCAGTCGTAGATTTTATGTGTACTTACTGACTTTTGTTTTTGAGTGTCTCACAAAATTCCATTATTGGTATTAATAAAAAAGGGTAGATGGTCGTTTGTCATTCAGCCAACTTCAGCTCCGTCATAGCTATTCAAAAAGCTCAGAACATCCGGAATCCTGGCAAAACAGTTTTACAATACAGATTTTCGGCCAAGTCTGGTGAAGTAAAGTGGCTCGCTTCACTAAAAAGTTTGGACAACCCTGCTGTAGAGGGTTCAAGGATTCAGTAAGAATTGTGGGTAATGTTGGACTCCATGCATAAGCTACTCAGTTTCACAACAATATGCATAAAACTTGCAATGCCTCTGAAATTTGTGGTGATGTGAAATATATTTTGGAAAATTAAACTACTTCTTGGGCTATGTCTCTCAGCTGGCCTGGGAACGCCTTGGGGTCCCCCCGGACGAGCTGGAGGAAGTGTTTGTGGATAGGGAAGTCTGGGCGTCTCTGCAACGCCCAGACAGTGAAAGTAAAGTTGTATTGTTTATAGTTATATTTTTCTGAAGCAAGTCTATTAAAAGTTTCTAATGACAGGCCCAACTAAGCCTTATACTCATAAATGTAATCATTATGTTGTTTTATGAGCCTTTTGGGATCTGATTAGCAGCTTGTAAGCGCCAGTACAAGAGTGTTTGTGCCTCGTCTTCCTGCTGGAGCTTTGCCTCTGGAAGAAGGCGAACGCCATTATCCATCTTCAATATTTAAAGCCGCAGGGAGCTGCTGTAGTGGTGGAAGTGGTGGAGGGGCTTTGTGGATGAGCGGAAGAACAGAAATGACAGCTCCAGGACAAACTCGGGTCAAGGACAAAAGGTTTTTTCACTCAATTTAGAAATACACAGATCTATACGCACTTGCTATTTGCTGTGTGCCATTTAAACAGTAAAACATGAACTGACCTGAAGAAACACTGCAAAAAATAAAATCAGAGTCTATTCATGTTAAAATGTGCAATAAATAAAGTGGGGGAAATGGAAAAAAACAAAAACAAAGCCAGTTTATTACAGCTGCATGCTTAGCTTAGCCTGGAACCGTTTAAAATGGTTTTCATTCATTACAGTTGTCTCCCATCACAGCGCTCACCCTGTGTCCTGCTGCTTAGCTCCTCTGGTACAAACACACAAATAAATGAAAGTCACCCCATTTTTGCTTTCTGCTGGATCCACTGGGTTTTTAGGTTTAATTTCCAATTTTGATTATTTCAGAACAGGACACTCAAAGGCTCTTGACATGTGATTATTCTTTCACCACACACACACCAGACTCATTTTGGGCAATGTGGGTAAAGTGTTTGGCACAGTTTGGCACTTAACAGCCTCAACTACCCCACTGTGGCACTTGGTGGTCCCAGAGGTCTCCCATCACAGTACTAACCAGGCCCTGCCCTGCACAGCTACAGAGGCCTGACGGGATCCGGCTTTTCGCATACAGGTATGGCCTGCTCAAATCTGTTGAATGCATTTGGGACAACTTGTAATTTCCTTTAGAGTTGATTCTTTATTTGACAGTTTGTAACCTCATTGGATTGTGTCTTGTTGAATGACAAGAAGATTTGTCTGAGAACCACATATTTAGGATCAAAGGAATCAAAACTAGAATGAAACGCCAGGAATCATTGCATCCGTTTGAGCCGTTGACGGTTAGACATTACAAGGAGCTAATTACTGTTGTGCGATTATTGCAACATTTAGAAGGAATGTTTGCAGTGAACGCGGCACTTTCTTCTGAGTCACCTCCAGCGTGATGTGTGGGAATGATAGACGGCTGCATATTTCCCAGGGTGCATCAGCGTCAAAAAGAATAACTCATAAAAAACCCGGCTAAAACAAACTTGGCGACAAATAACAAAATATCACAGACATAATAATAGGACAGATCCTCCTCTTTTAGTTAAACCATATAACACCATCGAAAATGAAAAATAAGTATCGCAACCCAAAGAGTTCTTGATGAGAGGCAAAAGTGAAGAAAACAAGAAGGCAAGACAGGACAAGTTTATTTATATTGCACATTTACAACTACAATTCACAAGGGGCAAAAAATTACGCACATACAAACACAAAATCACAGAAAAATAGACAAATTAGTTATAATCAAAACAAAATATAGTGAAGGCATGATAAGGCTGAAAGAATAGCACTCTCAGCAAGAAGGTCCTGGGTTCGAATCCCGGTCTAAACTTTCTGAGTGGAGTTTGCATGTTCTCCCCATGTCTGCGTAGGTTTCCTCTGGGTCCTCCGGTTTCCCATACCACTAAAAACATGTACAATAGGTCTTACTTATTCGACGTGCTTTACAAATCCAGAAAGGAAAGATTCAACTCCTACTCAGACAAAACATTATAATCATAGTCCAATTAGAATATCGGTCAATTTACGTCTTTAATTAATGTATGACGGCCTCATTAGACAAAGAAAATATATATTCAGCTTTAAATTGTTATAATGTTGATAATTACGATCGCAGCTTTTATAACCCCCAAAATAATACAAAGAGACTGTAACTAATAATGAAATAGAGAAATAAATGAATATCCTAAATGTCTGTATACCTAAACATGAGAAGAAGTTTTATGAGTCTAATATCTTCTTCAACAACGATACAAGTAAAAATGAGCTTTGTTTTGGTCAAATATTGAAAAAAAAAAAATCTCATATTCATCTTTGGGATCTAAAAATCTAATCTATTCATCAAAGGAATCCCCAAGAACCGATTGATTATAGGAATACTCTCCAATTACAGCCGTATTAGATCATTCTTGTCTCTTTTTTTCTTTGTACAAACATCCACAAGCTGATATGAGGAACGTCCCCCCGCCCCCTCTGTGCAAATGCCACTTTTCCAATGACAAATCCTCAGACTGTGACATCACGGATTGAGCTGTTTTCTATTTCTTTTGAATACTTTTTGTTATTTTTCAGACGATTTAGACATGTTTTGGAGTTTAAGACTTGGCCTATTGACCTGACAGACATGTGTGCGCATTCCAAGCACGCAAAACCAATTCTTTCCCCTCCCTCGGCTTTATTAAGATCTGAAGGGCTCCCCTCTGCTGACAGATGACCCGTGTTAAACCTGGGTATGTTTTGGATATTGCGTGAAGAGAAACGCTCCGAATGAAAAATTGTCCAGCAGCACGTGAAGCAGAGGGTCATTTTGAAGAGGAAATGTGGGGAGTTAAAGGCAAAGTCATTCGCCGCATGCTCAGGCTTATTAAATATGTAGCACAGAGGAAATGCAGTCTCTTCTACAATAGCTACTACTACTGCTGCTACTACCACTGCTGCTGCTTCTGCTGCTGCTGCTGCAACTGCTGCTGCTGACAACCAGAGAATAGGCTGAATAACATTTATATCCTTTTTTTAAAGATATACAAAGACATTTTACTCTCTACTAGCTCTTTCCTAAGTTTACTAACTTGTTGACCCTAACCTTACCAATTAACTGTTTTATTTTAAAGTATTTAAAACAGTTTAAAGCTGGTGCACCAAACTTTTGAACCATAACAATGCAGCTAATAATATCCATGTATCTATAGATCCACCTTCACTGAGCCAATCAGCTCTCTGCCCTGAGAGTCAAATACTGACTCACATGGTTACTTCTTGAGTGTATGGAAAAGTTGAAGATGGAAGATTAAGTAATTTCTAATTTTTAGTTGCTGAAAATCTCTCTCTCTCTCTCTCTCTCTCTCTCTCTATCTTTCTCTCTCTCTCTGTACATTTAATTATTTGATGTATATATTTGTCCGCTGCAGTAGCAATGCTTTTGTTCACGTCGTGAGAATGTTTTTAAAAACACTTTTTATCGTTTGACAAGTCTATTATTCTTTCATTGTCGTCGGTATACTTTCCGGTCAAAGGGGAAGGTTATGAAGGTAGACTCTGCTCCGATGGGAATGAGTGTCCTTTGCTATCAACATCCTTCATTGCCTACTGGGAGAACTCACGCAGTAGGATCAAAATTTAATTTACTAAGAGATCGGGAAACCACAGCGTTCTATTGCACACATAACCACAGAAAGATTGTTACGACAAAATGGTTTGCATAATTTCTAATGCATTAATATGAGTTTATTTAAGAGTGCGGTCAATCTATCAATTTAACAACATTATCCTAGGAGTATAAGTCACTTTGAAATCACTGCTTTTCCAGACTTGTGTGCAGACAAGAATCCATTTTGAGAAACAAAATTGCAGCGTCCATCTGAGTCTAATCTACCATGCAGAAACAAAAAACTGCTAAAGAATCTCTTTCAAAGAAATCCCCTGTAAAATGATGTGAGGTTATGAAATCTTTGCACTCAAGGTCAAAGAGGCTTTTCTCTCCCGGGCCCTAATATGTGATAATACAGTGTTGAGTTGCATCTACATTGTTGGTCACAAATGATAATCCCCTCACAGATGTAGGCTTACACTGCAAAAATAAAAGCACTAGTTGTACAATAGTGTTTTCGAGTTGGGGTTTGTGGGAATTTTGAAAATATTCACATTTTCTGAGTTCATTCCTTCTGCATAAGGTCACAGTACAGGAAGTGTTTTCATAAATGAAAGTCAAGGTTGTATAAATGTTAAGATAGATAAGATAAGAGAACTTGTACTCATCCCACGGTGGGTGAATTTAATATTTGCAGACAATAACGATAACAAGATATGTGTAAATGCATTTTTGGCTTTAGCTTAAAACAAAAAAAACGTGATCGAAACAGATGCAGCAATAGTATCAGCAGTAAAAGTAATTGTACCAGAGTGGAAAGAGCTGATCCCAGCAGACCTCAGTTGATCAGCAGGGTAGGGCCTGGATAGTACTGTGATGGGAGACCTCTATGAACACCAGGTGCCACAGTGGGGCAGCAATGGCTTCTGCCATTGTGTCCTTAGGGGGAAAAAAACGGTGTATTTCGTTGGCCTTATTATTTATAGGCCTAGTAATAGTAGCAGTAAAATGCAATATTTTGAGGAGAATTTACCCATTTTAAATATAGAGTATTTGTTTTGACCTATTATCAACATGCCGCAGCCCTCATAATTCATATCTCGTGTAAGAAGCATATTTCAAACTTTAGTTTCAATAAAATAGTTGCAATAAAATACCAGGGCACAACATTATACTTGGGTTTAATGTAGATTTGTATGTTTCCTCTTCTCAAATCTTTTTATTTTATAGATGTTGAATTTATTGGAGTGAATTTTATAGTTAATCTTTTTATGTGCAGCATTTTTGAAATGTTTTTTTTTTTATATTGCAATACAAATAAAGTGGATTCAATTCAGATTCATATTCCATCTACTTTTTTTTCCCACTAGGGGTGTTTCATTTGAGCAGCATGAATGTCTTTTATAGTGCATTCTCTCACATGCAACTCCCTCCTGCAGTTTCCCATCTTTTCCGCAAGAGGGCGCGTTTTTGCCTAATATTTCTCTCCCCAAAAACAAGTGTGAGCGGAGACGCACAGGGCAGCATCAACTCCGTCCGCAGTCCGCCTCCTCTCCTCCCGTTGGTCTGGCTCAGGCGTCCCCCGGAGCCAGACAACTGTTCCGGCAAAGGATTTACCGCGTTCGAAGGTAAGATATGCAATAGATGTCTGCTGTTGCGGCTTTAAAATGTGTGCAGGGTGCGTGCTGATGCATGTGACGAGCGCAGACAGTTGTGCACGGGACAGCGTCGTGTGTATAAAGATGCTGCTGAGAAATGTACGCGCGATAATTAAGCAAGCCTTCCTAAATAAGAGATGAGATCAGATGCAAATACTGACATGTTTTTGTTTTTTTATGTATTCATTTATTTATTATGTTTGCATTTCCCCACCTTCATTTTGCATACGCATGTAATTCTGCACGGGCACACCATATATTTTATTAATTTCTTAAATCAAATGTGCAAATGTATGTTTTTCAGCTTGCAAGTATATAATTTGGTTCATACATTTTGCTTAGGGTGCATTCACTTCATGACATTTAAATCTATAGTTGAACCAAGCCAAGTCCTCAGTATGTGGGTTTGCACTGCTCTACCTGCATGCCTACAATCGCTGTGTCTATATCTCTATTCTGCTAAACCATTGTATTTGTATGTTATGCAAGATTATTTGTCTATTTCTTGCGGTGCATCCTATATTCCATTGCATTCAAACCACATCAAAATTGACCATAAATGAATTCAAAATCAGAAAGAGGAACAGGCAAAGTCTATATATCAGCTGCAACCAAACCAATACATTGTCAAAGCAGTGAACACATTCTGATTGTGTTGAGATGAATGTGGTAACCAAATGTGGAGTCTATACTTTGTGTTTGTGTGCCATTAAACAAAAGCTATAAATACCACTGTCTAGTGTTGCACATACTGTATTGAGTGGGCTTTGTTTTACTGTGGGTCCATATTACTTATGCAGCGTTCAAGATGACATCATGGTCTCAGCTCCGTCTCCACTGTTGTTGTGTGTGTATGTGTGTGTGTGTGGCTTTTAATTATGCTTAAGTTTAAAGGAGACCTATGATGCAAAATTGTCTTTTCTGTGTTGTCAACCTACCATGTTGTTCCCTCATCAAAAATAGTCCTGGAGTTGTTTTTCACTCCATCCGTAGCAAGCAGCATACAGCATAATTGCAGGAGAGTCTGGTTCTGGTGGGACTTAAGCATGTTCCCCCACCCCATCTGTCTAAATTAAACTTATTTCAAGTCAGGGTTTGAATGGTTTTGTAAATGATACTGTTATTGTTTTCTTAGAGGAAAAGTGTGTGCGTAGCTCATCTTTCTCATCTGTGGTAGCCTGGCCTTATTTTCATTTTTCATTTTTTTATTTATTTAATTCATTTAAGAACAAATGCAACAACAGCATTTACTATGAATGAAAAGGAGCAGAAAGAAGTAAAAACTTATAATATCTGCCCGCTACGGCCTTAGCCATCCGTACACTCCGCTCAATCATCATTTCCCTGCATGTAACGTCTGGGTCTGGTCCCTGTGTTTGCGTTTACAATCCTTTCAATTCCATCCGACCAATCAGCGAGCGCGGGAGGCGGGTGTTGTAGTTAATTGTGGGTGACGTCAAGAGTTTGCGCCGAACGGGCAGGTTGTAGTTTGGCAATGGCGAAGAATGCGATAGTAAAGTAATCCGGTCTGGTTCTATCAAGAAATTGAAGACGGAGCAAGAGTAATGTTTAGCAAATGTAATTGCTGGCAAAGATTGCGGCGCTACTCCCCACGGGCTCCGTTAGCGGAAAAGGAGATGCTAGGCTAAATGCTAACGACACACTCGGGCACACTACAGACGTCACGGTAAACTCAGATCCAATCATTTCAATCTGCAAAAGGGGTTAACCGCTCCCACCTGTTCACGGAGCTCAATGGAGCAAATCCAGACATTAGTACGAAATGTAATTTGTACTATGGTGTGGTACGACCAGGCTACATCTGTGATAGTTTTTTATATTTTTAGTTTTACATTATGGAACTATTTTAATGAACTACAGTTTGGATTACTTTTCTGGTATATTTTTCTGAACCATACTTTCAATTATGTTTGGACTGAGACCAAAATGCATGGACAAAAGGTAAAATAGGACTGATTATATATATAGGCCAATTATTTACCTTTAAAGATTTGTAACGCCATGGTAGCCCTGTCCTCATATCATATCTTTAGATCAGACATAAAGAGAGGACCACACAATAATTAGACAAAATGTGATAATGTAAAAAGAAAAACAAAACAAAACTCAGTGTCTCATCAAAATGCATTTTCTATTATTAAATTTGATTAGGATGTATGTTGCAGCCCTATGTGAGGTTGAAATGATGAGTGAATGAAGTCTAGACAGTGCTTCCTGCTGTATTGATTATGGTCACTACTATCTACTATGGTCTCTACTTTAATCATTCAGTCTTTGTTGGTTTCTTACAATACTGATTTCACACTTATTTCGTTCCAGATAATTGAGGTTTATATTTTTTTTATCACTTTTCTAATAAGTGGTGATTATTTTATTCAGGTAAATGTTTTAAGGCGCAGCCCAAAATGAAAACGGTCATAAGTAATTGTTGATTTAAGCGACAGAAGCAGCCGCCCATGACGCACACAAACTTTATTACTTCTGCCTAATCCCTCTGGTTTTCCTTGTTGTGGCAAACTCAGATCTATCTGTGAATGTCTGAAATGTCCCACAAAGCAGCATTACACTCTCACATCCATGCAGTTACAGTTAAACAACAATATTTGGCATTAAATATGTAGATTTTGCTCCTTAAACTTGATATCATCTATCAGTTAATCAATATATCAAAGTGTATTTGTGTAGTAAAAATGAACCAATTATTACATGCAATTTTATACTAAAAACAACAACACAAAAGTGTAAAAACAATAGAATGATCATTTTGAAGTAAAAAACACATTATCATTTGAATATAGTTTTTTGTCTAATTATGTTGTTGTTATGTGAAGCCCCTTCTGTTCGAGCTTGTGCTTTACAAATACATTTTGAATAATTGGTTGATAGAAAAGGAAATCATGTGATGCACAATCCAACAGGGTGTGGCATAACTGAAGGCAGCAGTACGACTGCAGGAATTCCCCAAACTATTTTAGAGGACATATTGATGTTTTAAAAAACCGAAAAGGAGTCTAAGGAGTCTAAGGATTCGACATAGCGTAACGAGTTGGAAAAAGAGCATATGGACAGATGGGTGGGGGGAGGTATTTATGCCAATTTGTGCCACAAGTTTCTGATATTAGTGTGGATGGAACTAAACACAACTCCAGGTCTGTTTATGATGAGGGAACTATCTAGAATGGTTGACGCCACAGTAACAAGTTCAAAATGATTTGGTATGGGAAATAAGATAAGACTAGAGATAATAGAGAATTTCAATGTTGCAGCGCACATTCAGGAAAATAGTAAGAGCACACAGGGAGCACACAAAATATACGATATAAGTAGCTGCTGTGTTTCTTAGATAAAGTGACAGTCAGTGGACATCCTGAAATTGCAGTATTGCACATTACAGTATTTACTATTCACAGATGAATTACATCAAATGAGTTCTTGTTAGGGTACCACAAATATTAATCGTGATGGTACCACAAGGCTTCAATACAAATAAAATGTAGAAAGAATATGTATAGTATCTTAACACTGCTATATTATGTTGGTAAATATGTTTAGCTTACATGTAGGAGGGTTCATGGATATTGGAGAATTGAAGGTGTGTGTACAGGTGAAGCTTTGAGATTTAGAATATTGTTCTATGTAATCTATGTAATATTTACTTATGAAAAACCTCACCCCGCCAATCAACTCAAAGTATCAAACAATGACTTTAATTCTTCATTCATTCATTTTCATCCCCTTTTTTAGTCCATTTCTGGGTGGGAGGTGGGTTGGGGGAGGGTTGCAATCAGAGCTGCCTCCCAAATCCTCATAGCACCAGCCCCTCACTGATCCTCCTGCAGGTGGTGGGTCCACTGGATGATGGCTGCTCCGTCATCGAAGACACAGCCTTGGTGTTTCAGCGGGGGCTTCAGGCAAAATCATGGGGAGATTGAACCCACAACCATTAGGTTCAAAGACTCTACTGACTGAGCCACTGTTGACTTTAGTTCTCAAATAGATTAAAAAAAACAAACAGACATTTTGGTTGGTTTTATGTTAGTTTGAAGTTTTTTTTTATTGTTTCGATTCTAGTTTTAGTACCCATCACGATCCCATTTTTGATGCTGTTGTCAACCCTGGTTACGACGTATCTAAATGTTTAAAAAAAAATAATCTATATAATGTTCTTTGAAATGCTGCTCCTGCACGTGCTGCACAGTTCACTCCCATCTATTCTCTTCTCTTCTCTCTGGCCTCATTCCAGAGCACAATGGCGTCACTGAGCAGGCGCGTTGTGGCCGCAGAAGAGGACCACTTCTACCCACCCGTCAGGAGGCTCCACAACGGGTCGCTCCGGAGTAGTCGGGGCCCGCCTCCTCCTCCACCTCCTCCTCCTCCTCCCTCTCAGCCGGCCCCCCACACCACCCACACCACGAGCTACAGCCACGCACACTTCTGCTCGCACACACAGGCGCAGAGGTACAGCTGTCACCTCTCCACCAGCCTCCCCACCATGAGCAAAGCCGAGCGCGTGGGGATACAGGTGCCTGGGGCCAAGTTTGTCAAGCACACGGAGCCGCTCTATCCCAAGCCTCCGCATCAGGTAAGGCATCAGGCTTTTTTTCTGTCTTTTTAAAGTGGACGTTTTGGGCTGCTGTGCTGCTGTTTGATGAGTTTTTGAGTTTTAAGAAATCTTTTATTCATCCATTTGAGGGGAATTTTTAAGTGTTGTATCAGTTACAGAACAGTAGATTTCAGATTTATGCTGCTAAAATCTGGAACAATCTTCCTGAAAATGTGAGACAGGCCTCCTTTCTATGTTTCAATCCAGGTTAAACACAGTTCTGTTTAGCTGTGCATACAACTGAGGGATTTTATATTTTTATCTTCCTTTTTAATGTACTGTGATTATTTATGATTTTAATGCTATCTTGTCTTGTTCAGAACTTTGAGTTGCCTTGTGTATGAATTGTGCTATACAAATAAACTTGCCTTGCTTTACCTTGCCTTGATAAGATAAGATAAGATAGACTTTATTGATCTCACTCTGGAGAAATGTGCATGTCACATTTGGCATAGATAGAATCACTCATGTTGTGCAAAAGACAGAAGTGTTAAAAATATAGACTGTTCAGGATATAATTACTTACAATAGAAAAGTGGCAATAGTAGTGGTGCAGTAGTGACTTAAAGTGACTTATTGACAGCAGTGGGGATAAAGGCTCTGCGGTAGGAATGAGGAGCACACCACACAATAAGGTAAATAAACAAAGCACAGGATAAGAAAAATGAACATAGGTCTATACTAAACTCTAAATAACATGAAATTACAGTAAATCTCTAGCTTTAGCATAAAAATTAAAGTGGTCTATAATCTATAATAAGAAGCAAGAATTAAGCACAAAATCTCTAACTTTAGCATAACAAATAAGCAAATATTAAATATATAAAGTCTATATACAGCACTGTATATTGTAGTGCAGAAATATATAGTTGTATGTAGGAGTGTCGCGATACTTTCTCCCGCGATCGATTATCAATATGCATTTGCATGATTTTTTCAATTTTTATTTTTTATTAGTATCAATACTTAAAGGAGCAATATGTAATATTTGCATGTCAAGTCATCATTAAATGACCCGAATATTTCAAAAGGCGTTATTAAATCATACTCATCTTTAACTGATAACAGTAGTTCATCCGAGATATTTGATTATCAAAATTATATGGCTACATTACGCATCTCCATTCCATTTATCATAAAAATAAAGTGTATTTTTTCACTTATATCAATATATCGATAATCGTCATATCGTGATATAATCGTTATCGTGATATTATTGTTATCGTGAGGTTTGTATCGCGTATCGTATGGTGAGGTACCCTTAGGTTCCCACCCCTAGTTGTACGTATGTATACATCTGTACCTGATATAGCAGCATGAGGTATGGGACTAAAGTGACAATATGACTTCTATATTGCACATTCGGATGTTATTATTGCACAGATGAGTGTAGTACAGTTAAGTGACAGTGGACATATTTTGACATAAAGCTGGGATACTGCACTTTGACATAACTAAAAACTACTATGTAATAATAATCCTTTTGACTAGTTCTTCAATAGTTTTCACGTGCATGTATTTTTGGCCTTTATCACAGCTTTAAATCAACTTTGCTTAGACAGAATGATGAAAAAGAGAGGAGCACGTTTACTCAAGCAGCTCTCATTCCAAATGGTCAAATAGTGACTCACAGGCTCTTTATAAAGCAAATTTTTTTGTTTTTTTTGTTTTTTTTAATAAATATGATGGACAGCATGTTGTGATCTGATGAGTTGAAACAAAAAAAGAAAATTTTTGGAGGGTATGTAAGGTACCCCAGCATTAATTGATTTTTTTTTTAAAGGAAAGCTTTTTTTTTAATGAGAAATGTTAAGATACTTACCATACATGCGTTACAGTTAGTGCTCGTTTTGTCCCTTAAAGCTGGGGCACGTAACTTTCAAACCACAAACAATTGAATTCAAATTCATCTAACTCCTCGCTCTCCAAACAGTTCAGTCACCAGTTTTCACATGCATGTATTTATGGTACACAAAATATAAGATGTAGACCGCATGTCTGATTTGTTATCAACATTGTAGACTGTTGGGACAAACAACAAGTATTATTTATGAAGCAAAGAATGATAGGCACCCCAGCTTTAACAAGAATATTTACTGAAATTATGGCATTTCATTAAAACAAATACGTATAAACATGACCAATGTTGTGTTAACATTGTCATAGTGAGAAAAGTTGGAAATTGCATTTAATTACACGTTAATCCAATATGGAGTGGTCTAAGTCAATCCTGTCCTGAAAAGGGAGCCATTGATTATCTTTTAATAAAGGTTTAATTTGAGATATTATACAATCCCAGTCAGAATCAAGTAATATAAAATAAATTTACTGGGTTAGGTTTAGGGATAGGGGCAGTAACCATAACGATATATAGTTGGAGTGAATGTGAAAGTGTGCAGAAGTGCTTTGGATAAATATGAACCCTTTAGACGCAAGCGGTCTTTCGGTAATTCGATTTGGAAACAGACAAAATATGGATCCCTTAAACTTAACAAGAGATAAGGGACAACAGAAATAAATACACAAAAAATATGCAAGAAAATTGTTAAATGTTTGTGGGATGTCAAGTTGCTGTGTAGAAAGAATCAAGGATGTCCTCATAGAAATTCTGCTACTTTGGTTTTTCAGTTGTCATAAATACTTAATTAAGAGCCATGGTTATCAAGTAAGTAAGTAAGTCAATCAACATTTATTTGTACAGCACAATTGGTACAGAATACAAAGTGCTTTACAAACAGCCTAAAAGACATAAAAAAGAGAACAACAATACCAGTAATAACAATAAAAGACAAAAGGTCGATTCTCTAATATATCTATAGGTTTTCAACTGAATTGACAAAGCAAAGCAAGTTGAGGCAAGTTTTTTTTATGTGACACATTGCTTAACAAAACAAGAAAGGAAACATTACAATCATGGATATATAAATCATAAACATTCACTATACATTAAAAAAGAGCAAAGATAAAATGCTTATGCTGCTTTAAACCTAGATTTGAGCACTGCCAGGGTAAAAGCCTCTCCCACATTTTCAGGAAGACTGTTCCAGATTTTAGTAGTTTATTTCCACTTGCTTGCTCTTTTTGTGTACCCTTACAACTCAAACACTTTCAACCTGTGAAGCTCTGAAGTTTGCGTGACTTCTGGCCTCTGTAATCACCTATAATCTCCCGTGAATGGGAAGTTTTCATTGCGACGACATTGTTTATTTGTTAACGACCGCGCTGCTGCCAGTATCAGCCTTAGTCACGATGAGCTGAGCGACAACACGTAGAGAAACAAAAAGCTTGCGCCTTTCTCTTAACTGATTTCTACACTGATCAAATCCAGCAGACGATTGGCTCCTGAGTCCTGAAATCCGAGCTCACGGTTGTGTTTTGGTGACACTCAAAGCTGTGACGGTCTGACTAATTGCCTCTCGTAATGGGATAGCAATGATGCACTGCAAAAATGACTGTACTCACACACTCATTGGGACTTTGGGACTTAAACCGGCTTCAACTAACAAAGTCTATGTCCAAACGGCCTAAAGTAAGACGAAAGCAAGACCAGAGGGATTATATACATTTTTGATTCTTTTGTTTGTTAAACTTTTGCCTGAATTTTCCGGGTTCATACCTTGACATGTCCCTGGTTTAGTCCTAAAATAATCCCTTTTTTTTGTGTTAATAGTTTGTAGGAATGGGTCGATAACCGGTGAGGATCTTCTCGCTGAAAAGAGCGGCTTAATTTGAATAGTTGAATAGTTTAATTTGAATAGTTGAATAGTTTAATTTGAATAGTTTAATAGTTTAATTTGAATAGTATAAGGCGGTATATACGTAAATAAAGCTCACTTACTTACTAGTTTGGAATGAAGCAGGAGACATACATTATATAAGCAAACACTCAGCAATTGTAATGACACAACAACACTGCGTTTACTTTGGGAGTTTGATTTTTACACATGCTCAACTGCTGCAGCATAAATCATTGAATTTCCGTAGCGGTCTTAAAAGCACCATGATTCCTATTACGTTTCTTTGCGTAAAAAAACAATGAAACCAGCGAGTGGCCGAGTCGTGATCCCAAACAACATGAGTGAGTAAACTAGACCTGTCCAAATACGTTAAATACTGTACACGTTTGTCTTTTCCCTTTGTGCACGAAGGCATCACTGGCCTCGGAATGGACTGGTTTTTCACGCCTCAATTGATGCACACACGTTTGCATGTGTCTTTACAGTGTCAATCAGATAAAATTGGAGGCGGTGGAAGATCCAGTTTTCACAAGTATAACTGTATTATGTGTACATTGTACCCAGGGGTGGCATTGCCTGAATTAAAAGACTGATTGATGAATTGATGGAATAGTTTCATCATCATCGTTTACTCTCCATGGATTGCCACCTTTCTCTGTTCCGAGGAGTTCTGTCGATTGGTAGATCTAAAGTCTCCCATGACTAATAGGTCCCACAATATCCCCATGGTCAGTGACATATCAAGAATCTTTTTTTTCTCAATTGTCCTATTTGAAATAAGAATGTCTGTGTTTAGTGTTGTTTAGTGCATTTTTTAAATAGCTTATGGTTTTCACTGGTAAAAAAGGCAACACAAATTTTCAAATAGATTTCCCATCATTTCAGATTTTACTGTTTTTGTAACCACAATTTTAGACAGGCATTATATTGCACTGCCTGGTATGTTTGGATCATTGATCACTTGTGGCTATCCTGTTATAATGATATTTATTAAAGGGGGATTCGAAAGAAAATGGTATTAGATTGTTATTTATTTTTTCAGATGACATGACTAATCACCAAATGAGCTCTTATTTTATTTCAAAAAAAATCTAAACAGCCGGCACATTTCAACTGAAGCAGTATAGACATTTTTTTACAGTAATAAGACCATGGAGCTGGTTGTCATTGTGTGTCTTGTTTGCCGTAAAAGCCGCATGACATCACACAAACCTGTTCTGCCACTGTCTCATTTCAATCACA